TCGACCAGGAGCCTTTGTAGTGCTGCTGTCTGTTGGCAGAACATAGGAACTACGATTTCTTATTGCCCTGTTGGATGGTGCTGGCCTCTAGCGGCAATTTTAAGAACTGCGTTCAAGTTTCGTCTTCCCTACGGTGGTTCCCTGGATAGTGCTGCTATCTGTCAACAGTTTTTTTAACTAAGTGCCGTTTTCGTCTTTCCTGGATGGTGCTGACCCCTTTTAGCTGATTTTTGAACTAATATTTCATTTTATACGTTTATTGGATGGTGCTGCTCTCTTTTATTGAATTTTAAAACTAATATCGTCAAGTTTTGTTTGCCAAGGGTCACTAAAATTGTTGTTTTCGTCTTCTTCTATTGTTTAAATGTTTATTCATTTAATTCTAAACATGACAAGCCTCCACTATCTTCTGTACAATGTTAATTAGTTAAAATTGCATCTAATAAATTCTATAAAATGTTTTCTTTATGAAGTATATTGTCTTAACTGTTATCTAGCCTAAACTAGTATCTGATTCTTTCATGTCTTAAGCAATACATTAGTTCATAACGTTTTTTTTTTTCATTTCAAATTACAGAAATTAGGTTAATTAAATACTGATAGTTTCTCAAAAGTGCATATAATGAGTGAAGTGAAGTTTGAATGAATCTAGACGTATCAACAGTGAACCTTTGTGTTATGTCTTTTTAAATATATATAAACCATAATAGACAAAAGCAAATAAAAATATATTTCTCTAAAGTGTATAGAGTGAGTGAAGTGTAGTTTAGAATACAACTACAGTGAACTGTATTTATGAATATTACGCATATGTAGTAATTTTGTTATGTATTCAAATAAATGTATTTCTGTGAAGAGTTGTTTTTATTTTACCCTATTCTTTCTTTATGATCAAAAAATTATGTTAATTTCTGCATGTATTAGTAACTAAATATTTATATCTTCTGAATATATATCTAGTTTAAAGTAAAACTGTTAGCTAATTTTTTTTTTTTTTTCAAATGTTGAAGGTAAGTGTCTACAGTTTAGACAAAATAGACGAAAGCAAATAAATATATTTCTCTAAAGTGTATGGAGTGAGTGAAGTATAGTTTTGAATACATCTACAGTGATCTGTATATATGAATATTATGGATATGTAGTAATTTTGTTGTGTATTTATATATATATATGGTGAAACATAATAGAAGAATACAAATAAATGTATTTCCATGAAGAATTGTTTTAAGTTTACCCTATTCTTTCTTTATGATCAAACACTGATGCTCATTTCTGTATGTATTATTAACTACATATTTATATCTTTTGAATGTATATCTAATTCAAAGTAAAACTGTTTGCTATTTTTTTTTTCAAATGTTGAAGGTAAGTTTCTACAATTTTCTATCTATCAAATTGTTCATCTTCTTCTTCATCAAAGACGAAAATAAAGATTTTCAGCTCGGAATTGTGTGTCAGATGCTTCTGGGAGCAGTTTTTCTTGTTTATTCATTCTAGAAATTGCTCAGATATATTTAAAATACTTTTAAATAATCTGAAATAATTCCTTTTTTTCTTATTTCACCCTAAACATTCAAATTTTCACCTTTTAATAAATTTTATAAACAACTTTGTCTATTTCATACTGTAAATCAATCAAAATAATTTAGAATTGTTTGAATTGCTTCCTATTTATTCTTATTTTGTCTAAATATCAGAAAAATAATGACAAATCTTCCAATTAGGTGTTATTTTCACCATTTATTAAATTAATACTTTACTTTCTATTGTCTTATATTATATATTTCTTGGATTAAATAATGGTTTTTATATAATATATTCATTTCTTTTCACATCATCCTATATATTGTTCTGTAAAAAGGGTGATTTCAAACAATACACAACTTTAAAAAAAAAAAAAAAATCAAGGAAAATGATGTTTTTGCCATTCTTATATGAGAAAATCTGAACTTACGATTCCTTATTTACAATTTGGTAGCTTGTTATGAACCTAAAATTTGATGAATTCATTCTTTTTATAGAAAATTGATAATATATTTTCTTTTAGTAAATATAGCATATTCAGTCAGCAAGCTTAATTTATTTCATTTAAATAATTAATTAAGGATTGTATTCTTGTTAACTGAGTAAATTATGAAGTAAAATTAAAAAGGGAAAGGAATAGAGGGATTTAAAGAAGAAACAGAATAATTAATTTTTTTTTAAATATATTTATTTGAAACAAAATACATTGAATCTTGCAAATACTGTACAAAAGTACTATAAGAGTAAACATATATAGAAAATGATTCCAATATTTGGTACAAAAAAAATCAACACAGAATTAATAAATTTGCCGTTTCTATTGAACAGTCTTCATTACAAATATAATGTTTATTTATCTTATATTATGATAAATAATTTCAATTATTCATTTAACTATTACATAACCTTGAAAAATCTCATGGAAATATGAATAACACAGATAAAATACATCTTTCATTACAAGTATTATTAAGAGTAAAAGTAAATACAAGATTTTCTAATTTCAAGTTTTGGGGAAGATAAGTCCTATTCTTTTCAACTGTTGTACCAAACACCTTAAAATGTTTTCTTGGTAAAAGGATTGTTTTATTTATTCTCTTGTTACTTTTTGTTTAGTATACATACTTATCACCTCGCCATATTGATTCAACTTGATGTAATACTTATTAAAATATTCTTTATTTATTTTATAGTAATTACAAGTATTAAATAACATGAATAATTGCAATACCAATAATCAAATTATTACAATAATGATCTAATAATTACAGGAAGAATTACGATAACAAATTCAAAAATTAAGATGGAAACTTCTTGTCCAGCGTGAAGAGTTCTTGTCCAGACTTCAAATCACTGACTCGATGATGACCCACATGCTTGGGTTGAAACGTAGGCAAAATCAATAAACACTTTTTTTGACTGCACATCCTAACCATTTTTCATTTACAATTTACAATTTCAACAATCAAATATGTATCCATCTAGAGATGTATGTATTTTAGAAAATACAAACAATAAATAACAATAATAACAATATCAATAGTTTCTATAATGATTACAAGAATTAAATGACAATGATTAAGTGTATTGAAAAATTACAACTATACAACATGAAAAATTTTAATGGCTCTGATTAAATGACTTCGTCTTTTGATTCTGCCTTCATTGTCTTCAAGTTCTTTAGCCATATGATAAAGTATACAGTATCATTCTGGTTGCAGTAATGTATTGCTTGTTACTCAGAGTGGTGGTTCCAGGCCTCTGATTAAGTATACATAGATGAAGGAAGACTGCTTGCCTCCAATTCGGAGTCTTGAAAATATTAATTTTTCTGATGTGGATTCAACTGATGAAAATTTTCATGGCAGAATATCTTGTTTCATTTGTGATCTGTTTGTCAATGGTCTCATTTGCATTTATTACATTTTTTTTCCAAAGACATCTCCAATCAGTAGAGTAGTTTATCATTTCTAAGCATTTTCTTCAAGGTGGTGGTAGAAACCAGCTAAATACCTAAACAAAAATAATGTGTATATTAATATATATGAGTTATTGTTTCATTATAATTATATTAGATATATAAATAAGTTTTTAAAAAATATAAACTCTTTGTAAATAAATACATACAAATACTTTGTCATTGTATACAAAATGCTTTTTAAAATATATTGTATGAAACAGCATTGAGCTCCGTAGTTCAGTTAAGCTTATTTTAAATTAGGTTAAAAAAACATTTTAATTTAAAAATTTATTTTGTAAATAATAAATATAATTATAACTGAAGATTGTCAATTCATTTATTATTATTTATTTGTGCAGGAGTTGGCCTGGGGTCTGGTCAAATATTATAATAGTATTTTACTGGATATGCCTATATAATAGTATTTAATTTGACTGCTCCCCTGATCAACTCCTCAAATTATAATCACAGTCAACCATCTCCACACTATTATTATTTGTGATTTAAGGTAAACTTACCATAAAATATTTATAAATATTTACAAGTTACAATATCAACTTTCTTATTTTGTTTATTTAATTCGGCAATCATCCTTCTCCAGGTTCCTTTCTCGAATATTCCACCATATATTTGATGGAGTACCTTCTTTCCAAACCTGAGGAGGACTTGTACAATTCATAATCAACCATTGATATAATAAATAGCATCTTTGTTATTTTAATAGTATTAATGATTTGTTAGCTATTAACTTTAAGCTTTAGCTCGGTTAAAAATGCACTTCAAAAATTTTATAATAACACAACATTGCCAGAAAATTATTTCTATTAAAAGTAGAGCGGTAAGTGAAAGTTGTGTGTAGTGCGCACCAGATTTTTCTAATTTTTTTTTTCAATTTTCCTCATGTTGACTTGAAATATTTGTTGTTTAGTTTTATCTTTATTATATTCATAGCCATTATTTCTTTCCAATATACTAAGAAAGTTTGTTTATTGAAATTGTTTGAAGAAAATCATCCTTGTTTAATAAGCTTAATAATAAGATTAATAAGGAAAGTGACTATTGAAGCTTAAGTTTGTTATCTAGGACACCTATATTAATATCTGAGAGCAATTTTTCTTCAAAAAGTTAATATTTTCTTTAACCCAAATAACTAGATTCAGAAATTCTAAGTGGTCAAATAATATAAGAATGATCCTGATTTCTTTAAAAATCTTAAATATATAAACAAAATATATCCTGCCTCCATCCATTTTTAAACCATTAGAGTTTTAGAACCTCCCAGTTTTTTTTACTGATGTATATTAAAATTGTAGGAATTCAGGGACTGAAATAGACTTTTTCACTTCTCCATGAAATTACCTTTCGTTTGATAGCATATTTTTCAAAATTCATCGCTCATCAAAACCAGAAAAGGTATCTATATACTATAAGGGTATACACATTGTGTATAGTGTAGATAACCTTTTTTTTTATATGATATATAAAAAAAATATAGAGTTTTGGGTTTATTATTAAATTATTATTCAACACATGCTTACATTATAATCATTATTGAAACTTTTCAGCATTCATATTTTATACAATTCTCTTATTGCTATTATTCAACACAACACATAAATAATGTAAATTTTATTCATTATCGAAACTTCTAAGTATTCATATTTATAACATAGTTTATTCCATTATTTATGACTCTTAATATTATTATCCAACACATGCTTACATTTTATCCATTACTGAAACTTTTAAGTATTCATATTTATAACATAGTTCACACAATTATTTATGACTCTTATTGTCATTTTTTAACACATGTTTACATTTTATGCATTATTGAAACTTTTAAGTATTCACATTTATAACATATTTTATACGATTAGTGATTACTCTTAATGATTTGAGGCTCGTAGTTACTCTGTATAGCTTTTGTGAGAGCTTCTACATACATAGGTAGTCGCTGTGTCATCTACAAATAAAGAATAATATATAGTTTATAAAAACATGTTATATTTTAAAATGATAAAATATTACAGTAAATAATTTTATAAGTAATTAAATACTTTTTAATAAGTACTGTAAATAATTTACAAAAACGGAAGCTTATTAAGAAAGAAAGAAAGTAAACTTTACTACGGGACATTCAGTCTCCTAAGAGTAATTATAATGAAAAATTTGGTAACATTTGTCTGACATAAGAAGATGATCAAGAATTAATTAAATTACATGGTTATCAAGCCTTGAAATTATAGAAAGGCACAAGTTACCATTTGAATTATTATATATATATATATATATGAGAAGGAGTTAGTCGAGGGTGCGGTCAAATAAATAAAAAAATTAAAATATATAAATTATTTTAATTTTTGCCGACGTTTCGACCCACTTAGCTGGTCGTCTTCAGGGCTACAAAAGATACAAACATGTTGAAAAAATAAATATAAGTATATATAAAATACGAAGAAGTTGTCAGATACAGAAATAAAAGATAAAGAAAATAAATACATGATAAGAAAATAGATAAAAGAAAATAAATACATGAATGTTAACGAATAAATAGATTGAAAATTGAATAACTATTGTTACAGTAAAGTTAAAATATGGATAATTATTCAATTTTCAATCTATTTATTCGTTAACATTCATTTATTCGTTAACATTCATGTATTTATTTTCTTTTATCTATTTTCTTATCATGTATTTATTTTCTTTATCTTTTATTTCTGTATCTGACAACTTCTTCGTATTTTATATATACTTATATTTATTTTTTATTTTTTTTTATTTTTTCAACATGTTTGTATCTTTTGTAGCCCTGAAGACTACCTGCAAAATGGGTCGAAACGTCGGCAAAAATTAAAATAATTTATATATTTTAATTTTTTTATTTATTTGACCGCACCCTCGACTAACTCCTTCTCATATTATATCAACGGTCAACCATCTCTACATCATATATATATATATATATATATATATATATATATATATATATATATAAAGATATATATATAGATAGAAGGCACAAGTTACCATTTGAATTATTATATATATATATATATATATATATAAAGATATATATATAGATAGAAGGCACAAGTTACCATTTGAATTATTATATATATATATATATATATATATATATATATATATATATATGTTTGCTAGGTTGTTGAAATACACACATACAGACCATTTCACAATACTTTTGGTCTAAGGGGACCTTAAAACATATATTTTCATTAAAAATTTGGATGCAAAATATATTACAATCTCAATATCTTTGTCTCATCATACTTTTCATTCGTAGGTAAGAATGTGAATAAATAAAGATATGATTAAATAATCAATAATAAAAATATACCTTGAATCCCCAAGTATCAGAAACTTGTCTGTTTAAATTGAGATCCAGTTCTGCGATCAGCAACCCATCTTTTAGTCGAGATAATCCCTGTTAAATAGATAAAATAATTAAAATTAATTAATATTAAGGGATCAAAATAAAATAAACACTAATTAGAAGTACTATCAACATCCAAATCTAACTACATTATTATATTATTGGGTTTTCCGGAAAATAATGCAGCATTTTGAATTTTCATTAAAATACTCCACTATAAAACAAATTGTTTACATTTACTGGATTATTCATTTGTATGAATGTCGACACTTATCAATCTTCTTCCAAATAATAATCTTTGTTCACCTTGTTAAGATGTCAACGCATGATTTTCGTATAATTTTGTTTTAGAAGTTTGGCCGGAATGAGGCCAAGACGGCCAGAAACATCAATAAAGTCTTAAAGAGTTGAAGAACCCCAGAACAGCTGTTCGAGAACTTGTAGGGAAACTTAACCTTATCAAATCGACTGTCGATGACCACCTCTAGGCGATTGGAAAGGTAAAAAAGCTTGAAAGTTGGGTTCCATATATATTAAACGACCGCCAAAAAAACTAGTATTATAAAGTTTATGCTACACTTTTTTGCCGAAATAAAAATGGTCCTTTTCTGTTCAGAATCATTTCTTTAACTTTACGATAACAGTAGATGTTCTCGACCGTGGCTCAACAAAGGAGAAGCAGCAGAACGTTTCCAAAGCCCTCCACTCATCAAAAAAAGGTGATGGTGGGCTTCATTTGATTTGATACACTACAGCTTCTTAAATTCTGAAGAAACCATTAATACCAAATCTTATTGTAACCAAATTAATGCAATGCATTGGAAATCGGCAATAATGAAGCCATCTTTGGTCAATTAGAAGTCCATTTTGTTATATGACAACATCCAGCCACATGTCTCTCGTGTGATGTCACAAAAACTCTTGAAGCTTGGATATGAAACATTGCCACATCCACCTTACTCTCTTGACCTCTCGCCTACGGATTATCATTTTTTTAGACACCTGCACCACTACTTACGTGACAAAATATTTAAAAGAGAATGGAAAAACGGGATTATAAAATGCGTTTTTTTTGAGTTTATCAATTCTAAAGATGGGGAATTCTATTCTGAGGGAATGGAAAAGTTTGGAAAAATGCCAACTCGTTGGCAGAAATGTATTGGTACTAGTGGAGACTATTTTGATTAAATAAAACAGTTGTAAATCTTTCTATTTTCTCTTTTTCTTTTTAAACCAAAATCTTGCATTATTTTCTCGATAATCCAATATTGCGACATAACCTTAAAAGTCCCAACTCAAAGTCTCGAGTCTCTACAATAACAGTAAATAACTAGTAAAATCCATAATAATAATAAAACTTTGTCTTCAATTCATGCATTATCAGAAAAAAAAAAACAGTCCAAAAAATATTTATCACCTACAGACAACAAATAATCCAAGTTGATTAGATCTTGAAGTGGATGACGTCTCAAGTTGAAGTGCACTTTTATGGCAGGAAACCTTATCTACTTTAATTTCCAACACCTCATTGAAAATCGACAAAAGCATTATTGAAGTGAAAACTGATTTAAGCACATTTTGCACTCTTCTTGTGAACATTAAATTAGATTGAGCCATCAGATTCCAATGTGTAACGATCGGGTAAAGTTGGCTGGAGTAAATTAATTTAATGGGTTTTGCATATGGTATAAAATATCTCAAAAACTAAAAACCGGACCTGCATTTTGTTCACAAGGAAAATTTTCATTATTTCATCCTCTTTGTAATGGGCTATTATTCAAAATTGTATCTCAATTCAACGCCATGTTAGAGAGACGAAATAGGAAAAAAATAATGTCAAAAAGCAAATTATAACATGTTTTATTTAAGATATAGATTAAAATATCTCAGAAACTAAAAATCGGACTTGCATACTGTAAGCGAGGGAAATGTTGAGGAAATTATTCAAAATTGTATTTTAATGCAGCGCCATGGTAAAGTTAGAAAAATTAACGTACTGTACAATTTATTAAAACACACTGACCACATAGAAGAGAATTACAAAGTTAAAATTATATATATTAAGAAAATAAGATGTAATGAGTAAATGTAGAAGAAGAAAGTAAATTTTATTCTGGGTCGTTTAGTTCTCTAAGAATAACAAACATGTACAATGACAATTAAATTATAATATAAATTTGGCTGGCAAATAATAATTAGGTTACAAAGTTGTGTAAAATTAGAATTAAAATAAAGTGCTACTCTAAATATACATATAATATGATGAAATTATAGGTAAATTGATGTTCGTGTGTTTACATATTTCCACTGTAAGCAATACAAATAGTTTTGAATTAAAAGTAGAATAAAACTGGTAACATATTTAACTCTTATAAATATTCGGAAGATTGATAGCTGAGGAGATGGAGAAACAATTGGTTTTTAAATGAAGTCAATGATGAGGTTTTGCATATGGAGGTAGGTAAGGAATTCCAAAACAAGGTACCACGCATAATAAAGTTTTTTTTCAAAATAAACTGTCCTATGAGAAGGAATATACAGGTTTGTGGGCTGGGATTCGTGTTGAAAGAATGGATAGAGGAACAAGGAGTGAACAACTCAAGAAGGTAAGGTTTTCTGGTTCTAAAGATTTGGAAAAGGAATACACATAAGAAATATTGCCGTCAAGAAACTGGATATAGCCACTTCAAATCGGAATATCGACTGGAGACATGGGGAGACATGGACTCCACAGATGAACCTAATGAAACAATGAATTAGTCTTTTCAGTCTAGTCTCAAGTCCACTAGACTGTCAACCATATACAAGGCAACCATAATCGAAGTTAGGAAAAAAGAGAGGAAACTAGGAGCTGACAGGTTTTAAAAGGGATAGAATCGCAGGAACTGTTTAAGAGTAACAATAAAGTTTCTGATAATTTGGGAAACAGTAATTCCAGGACAAGTGTTGAACAAATATGACCTAAGGTTTCTAACGGAAGTGCGGAAGCGAATAGTTCGGCCATTAAGGTAGAGTGGGGGATAATAAAGAAGGGAATTAACAAGATGCTTAGACCCAATGAGAATTGCTTTGGTCTTCTTAATGTTCAGCCTCAAATCACTGTTAGCTACCCATGTGTTAATATTGTCTATATTTTCTAAAAACCTTTGGGTCGCCTCAAGAATTTCTGGAAGAAGAAAGGATTGGTAGATCTGGAGGTCGTCAGCATATAGGTGATATTGTGAATGATGGATGGAATTAGGGAGGTCATTGGTATAAATGGAGAAAAGGGTTGGTGAAAGGGAAGATCCCTGAGGAACACTGCAAGTTAATAAGGGGGATGAGGAAGGAAGGACCTTTATAGGGAATGACGACTGTTTAGGATCTATGAGACAAGAAGGAATGAAACCGCAGTAAAACATTATTATTTGGAAGCCTGTTCTAATCTTTCGGGCGAGCTCGTATTCCTTTGGCTCCTCCATTACAACTATTCTCCGTTACAATCTCTTATTTCTCCTTTAGTTATTTATCAATTTTTTTCATATTTTATATTTAACTATATTTCATATCAGATATCAATGTGAAATTGTTAATTGTTTCAAATAAAAAAAAAAAATTAAAGGTACTTTAAGAGAAGCTAATATTGAAAATTAGTCATTTGAGCGCTGTAAGTGAACATCAATGAAAATAAAATCTACATTATATTAAAAACTGCTTAATTTACACTGATATAACGAATTTAATCAAAATCATTAGAGCAGTTTTCAAAAAATCAAAAAAGTATGTTAATCAATGATATATAGTGCCACTTCCGGTTAACTGATTTTGATCAAAAAGTTGAAGCAAGATTCCAGGTATATGAAAACCTTTAAAATGCAATTTCATCTTCGTACGACTTTTCATTTTTAAGCTAGACTGTTAAAATACATATGCAAGCATGCATGCACACACACGCGCATACATGCACGAGCACACACACACACACACACCATTTTGTGAAACTTGCTTATTTGGACTCAAAATGTTTATTTCCGATGAAAACTGAGATTCAAAAATTTTCGAGACCGCAATACTTTCCTTTCCTATATATTTCATTAATAGGTAAGTGAAAGTAATAAATACAGTCAATACAAAATAATTATTTGTTGGTAATAAGTTAAATAAATTGATCTTACAGGAGTCCTTGTTCCATCAGGGGCAGTAACATAACTTGATCCATAAAATTGTCCAGATTCAGTGTGTGCCTGCTGACCATCGCCTGATGTAAATTCATGAGGGTATTTTTCAATTCCAACTCTGTTAATAGCGCACGTAAAATAATGGTTTGCAATAGCAGCGTTGCGAGCTTCAATCCTCCAAAGATGTTCACTAAAAATAAATATAATCATAAATAAAATAATATAAATATAAAAATAAATAAACACCTTATTAAATAAAGAATGTAATTTATTATATTTAATAAATATATGATTAAGTTTATAAGAAAAAACTTTTAATCTCACACATTTTTATTTTATAATTATAACATCTTTTTAACAATAATAATTACTGTAAGTTCAGAAAATGCATTATATTTTAAATCAGATTCAAGAAACATAATCCAAAACTACGCAGAGCTTTTCAAAAAGTTAAATAGACAATGTTTATTCTTAAAACTGATAAACATAATAAATTAAAACTAAACTTAATAGAGGACGCCTTGATATTGTCATAAATCAGTCAAGACAACAGCTGATTAAGAATATGAAAATGGTGATGAAAAGGAAAAAAAATAAGGTAAAAGTTTTTATTTTTTGATGTGTATTTTCTTGAGATAAAATAAATTTTGTCCAAAAAAGATAATTAATGAAATAGTGTTTATGATAAAAATGTTTATAAAAGTTTGTTTGACTCATGAATTATATAAATCACTTATGATATATTACTTATGACATTATGAGTGATTTGTATAATTGCAGGATAGGTGTTGTTTTTTTATGAAATGAGGAGGGAAAAAAGGCTATTTGCGGAGGTTGATAAGAAGAATAACAACAAAAAAAATTGTTTATATTTGAACTAAACAATCACTGCCCTTTAAATAGTATGCTGCATATATATATATATATTAAGTATTTATAAATAATTATTTTATGATTAATGTTGGTTTTGTTTGTTTAAAGTAACAATTTTTGAAAATGGATTTTTAGAGAACTTAAAATAAGAATTCCTCCTACAAAGATGTTTTAGTTATAAAATAAAAATGTGTAAAATTAAAAGGGTATTTTTTTAAATGAAACTTCTTCAGGTGCGTTTTGCACTTTTTTTTGTGGAGAGTGAATTAGATTGAGCCGTCAGATCTCTGATGGGTAATGCTCGGGTAAAGTCAACTACAGTCAACTAATTGAAGTTTTTTCATATGGAACAAAATATCTCAGAAATTAAAAATTGAACTTCCATACTGTAAACAAGGTAATTGTTCAGCATGTCATCCTCTCCGTAATGGGCTATTATTCAAAATTATATCTTAACATAATGCCGTGTTAGAGAGGAGTAAAGGAAAATTAGTGTTGAAAATCAAATGATGAGTTTTATGGAAGAAAGATGGATTAAATATCTCAGAAACTAAAAATCGGACCTTCATACAGTAAGGGAGGAAATGTTCAGCATTTCATCCTCTTTATAATGAGCTTTTATTTATAATTTATATTTCATACTAATAATATTCTTGTTGATTTTTTCACTTCTATCGTGTGGTCTAAAGCACATATCTTAGTTTTTTTGTTTTGTTTTTTATAAACTTAATCATGATTAAATATAATAATTATATAAAAATCTAACAAAAAATTAATAATCAAAAGAAGTTTGTTCATCATCAAAATTTAATTTATTTTAGAAATCTATCATAAGTAAATCTATAAACCTCAAATCTTTGACAGTTGCACTGGGATTGAATACGATTTCGGCACCATTGATAGCAAACATCATCCAGTTCAAAGGGTGATGTCGCCCAAAGCATATATTGACAGCTATTCTCCCGAACTCAGTCTGTAATTAAATAGTTCAATTATTCACATTTGTTTTCACTTATAATAGCGAATTTAAAGTAAAATTCTGAAATAATATACTTCAAAAACTGGATGCCCTGTATCTCCTTCCATATAATACGTCGATTCATTGAAATCACCAACCCTAGGAATGTGGTTTTTTCTATGTTTCCCCAAAACTTGACCATAGTTGTCAATTATTACAGCTGTGTTCCAAATCACATTATTTCTATCTCTCTCAAGAATGGGGGACACAATCACCATGTTGTGGCGTTGGCACAGCTATGCATACAAATAAATTATTAATAAGCAAGAAAACAATAAATTTTAAGCAGGATATTTTAAACTAATAAAAAAAAAATATTACAGGCTTCAAAAAATTAGTTGTTGGTCCGTCTTCAGCCGATTCAGCAAATTCACACCAAGGAGATTTTTCTCTTGTACAAAATGCAAAAGGCATTGCTAGACAATACATAAAAAATAATGAGTATTTAATACAACAATACTAGTCCGTGGTACAGACTCCTTTTTATCACATCATTAACATCCGCCTGAAACTTTGTAAATAGTTTCATCTCTACGTAAGCCATAACTATTTTCTTTACAAAAATTCTTGGAATTGGGATGTTTTCAATCTGGAGATCGGCAAAGTTTGTCTATTTAATTAAGTACTAAAAATCCATAAATACCCATTTGCTTTACACTTGAATCATAAGATAATTTGAGCACATAATCGAGAAAAAAAGTGGCCTTCAAAAATATTGGTCTGTTTGGCGTGATCTACACCCCCAAAATGTCAAAATAACGAGGTTGTATGGGACAAATGGCCCAATATTTTTGTAGGCCACCTTTTTTCTCAATTTTGTGATAAAATTATCTTACGATCCAAGTGTAAAGCAAATGGATATTTACACGAGTTTTTAGTACCTAATTAAATAGGCAAAGTTTGCCGATCTCCAGAGAGAAGTTTGCTCCAATTCTAAGAGTATTCATAAATAAAATAGCTGTAGCGTACGATGAAACAAAGTTTCAGGCAGATGTTAACAATTTGAAAAAAAGGGGTCTGTACCACATATTATACATTATATAGGTGCTTTATAAACTTACGCCATACTTCTTGTAAACATAATATGTTAACTCCATTTATACCAGCACAATCTATCAAGATTTGAACTTTTCTGTAAATGGCTTCTCTTTGAGCTTCTACAGATGCAGTTGTATCTGCTGCAATCTTATTCTGGATAAGTCCAACACGAACGATCCTAAGATATTAAATTAAGTTATTATGAGAATAATCTATTTTGATTTATTTAAGGTATGTTTGAACTTGCCATACTTTAAAAAAAGTTAGTTATTCATTTCATTTCTATCATATTGACATAACTCCTATGAGATACACGTGATTTTGCTTCCTCACTACCGAAATTAGGGAAGCTTTGTATTTGTGCAGAAGGTTAAATGTTGAGCTCAGAATCGAAAATTTCCACTCGAATTTTACGAATCGAAAATTTCCACTCGAATTTTACATTTCACAAATCAAAGATCAAATTTGGTTCGGTGTCTGTCTGTCTGTAGTCAAATCGATGTGACAGGCATATCACCTACTACCGTTGTGCGGGTTGGTGCCTAGATGGTCCCATATCAGTTTCATTAAATTTCATATAGTACTTTCAGTTGCGAACATGCAAATGTATTTTCTTAGATATGCCAATATTTCAGAAACAGCTCAAATTTTAGATGTTGCTTAAAGTTTATATGAAGGTGGGAATTAGTAAAATAATGATCCATTTTATTTAATTCTGTACAGTACTTTCTGTTGCACATGCGAAAATGTATTTTCTTAGGTGAACCAATATTTCAGAAATGGCCAATTCGGTTTGGCTCATAGTTACAAGAAAGGTGAGTTTTGGTAAATAATGATACTGCATTGATTTTATTAAATTCTATACAGTACTGCCGGTTGCACACGTTCAAAAGTATTTTCTAAATAATTGATTGTTTGCCGATAGTTCAAAAACAGCTTGTTCGATTTGGCTCAAATCTAGAAGAAAGGTGAGGATTAATAAAAGTATTCTTAGTAGTAGTGCCAGTAGACCTTGAGATATAGGTTAAGTGTGGAACCAATGAAAATGGTGAGGAAGCTATACTCATCCATTTTTATTGATTCCCCACTTAGGTATATTTCATCGTCTACTACTACTTTTACTAATCTTCACTTTTCTTCTAGCTTTGAGCCAAATCGAACAAGCCATTTCTGAAATATCAACATACCTTAGAAAATACATTAGAAACCGGAAGTACTGTACAGAATTAAATAAAATCAATACTGCCTCATTATTTTACCAATAACTACCTTTTTTTCAACATAGAACCAAATCAAACAATCTCTTTCCAAAATATTGGTAGATCTAAGAAAATACATTTTCGCGTTCACAACCGGAATTCAATATAATTAATATGGGACCCCCTAGGCACCAACCGCATAATTCCTGAAAATAGAATGAACAGTAATAGGTGATCTGTCCATCACATCGATTTGACGAAGACAGACACCGAACCAAATTTGATCCTTGATGTGTGAAACACAAAACGGGAGTGAATCTCCTGCAGGAATGCAAAGCTTCTCTATCTTCGGTAGTGAGGAAGCAAAACACAACACTGTTAAATGAACTAAAATTAAATATAAGGTGGGATCAATAGGTACCTGTATAAGACGGGTTCAAGGAAAATAACTACTTTTATTTACTTGTTCCACTAATATTACTGTCTGTTAATAATAAAATATAATATTTTCAGAGGGAATTGTTTTATTTTCATAAAAGGGTTCAGCCTAGCTCTTATTTTTGTTACATGTCATTATAATTTCATAAGTGTAAATTGAATATGAAAGTATTCGGTCGAATACTTGATTTGAATTTATGACTTATTCTGTACCAGTTATTCTTAATATAATCTTTAAAATTAATGAAAAATAGTAAGTACTATCTTCATCGGAGAATGTGAAAAAGTACTAATAGTGTTTAAAATATCATTATATTATATATATTTTTCACAGTTAAAATTCAAATACTCCATCCAATCCCGTCCCACTAGATCTCGTACTTCTGACCTCTATCCTCCTCCTCACCGAACTGCTCCATTCGACAAATCCTTTGCAATACAAGCCGCCTCCCTCTGGAATTCCATCTCTGCTGATATTCGTCACACTCAATCAGTTTTCTCTTTCAAACCTCTCCTCTTACTGACTGATTAGGAAATATACTTAAGAGAAATATCTAAGCACCCCCAGAGACTACCTCAATTTATTTAGGTTATTTTAGTTTCTCATATATATGTATAATTTTCTTGTTCTTTTCTTTCTCTTCTTCAGTATTTTTATCTTTAGTCAACTCTTATTGTAAATATATAATCTAATTGTAACCACACAGACATACAATCTGTATTTATAATTTGTTCTAAAGGGGCAACAGTCCCAGAATAATAAAATATTTTTTCATTTCATTTCATTATCGGTGGTGTTTAAAATTGTATTGCAATAAAAATAAAATAAAATATTTATTATTCCATAAGAACTATTTTAAAATGAATATTTATAATTGACAAACCATACATGATTGCATTACATTTCGTTTAGTTATTACATATAAATATTAATATAATAATTACATTTTGCGTTTATTAATAATTATATGTAGTGTTAAAATAAAATAAAAAAAATATTGAAATAAAGATAATATAGACAGTAGTCATATATAGTTATCTAAAATTATGCATTTCAAGATGTCTTTATCTTTTTTGAGGTTAATTTATGGTCTCCGCTTACTCCAACACTTACTGGACAAACGCTCTAAACTTCCAATCAATTACAAACGACTCATATACATGACTGTAATAAGACCTATTTGGACTTATGGAGTTGAGCTATGGGGCTCCACTAAACCATCAAATTCCTCTCGTATCCAATCTTTACAATCCAAAATCCTTCGTAAAATCTTCAATGCTCCTTACTTTGTCACAAATAAAATAATCCATAAAGACCTCAATGTTCCATATGTTTCCGATCTGGCCAAATCCAGATACCTATCCTACCATAATAAACTTCATAACCATCCGAATCCTCTTCTTTCTAACCTTGCTTCCTCTTCGATTCCTGATAACCCTCCGAGGCGTCTGAAAAGAAGATGGCCTCGTAATCTCCTCATGTAGACAAATTATTAGAGTGCTACCAATGGGTAGTTTCTCAACAAGCGTGTTTCATGTGATTATATTCCTCTGTTCACATTTACTTGATGTATTCATACTAATACAGTTGTAAATATCATAATAAAAGTTTTTAAAAAATTATGGTCAAATTTAAAAATTTCCAGTTTTGAACAAAGAAACCGGAATTTCCTAATTTCTGTCATATTCGTGTTCCTTGGTCTTGAAAACATATAGGTACTAAATACCAAGTTAATCCGATATCATTTACAAGTTCTATGCCCAGTGCGCACAGGCAATTGTCCCGGGGCACTGGCAGATCTTCAGGTGGGTTCGCCACTTGTAAGAAATAAAAACAAATTACAAAAAGTATTAGCTAATTAATTAAAGGAATGAACTATTAACTAAATGTATAAAATAATTAATTTTAGCCTGCCAAGAAAGCAACCGTCTTAGAGTGGGGTGGATCGCCGATCTAGGAGTTCAAAACAACTTTCAAAATATGAGAAATGTAATATATCATCCTTTTAATAGAGAGTTGATGACATAAAAATATGCCCAAGTAAAATTTCAAAAGTTCATTTAAACCCTCACAGTAGAGTACTGAAGAGGGAGGTTTGGGCGAGCAGGCCTTCAGTCCCACCAGTTGACAATTAGTTCCAGCATTACTTTATTTATAATTAAAATCAATGTCTGTGTGCGTTATTGCTTAAGATTGCTTTTGATAATTCAGTTGATTATCTTTGTTTTTTACTGGATTAATATAATCTCAGTTTTCAATGGAAATACACATTTCAAAGTCCCCTGGGTCCAAATAATCCAACAATGAACAATAAAAGTTTATAAAATTATACATAAATTGTGGTACGTTTTTTCTTCAAGTCAGCAATCAATCACTTTCATCTTTTGTTACCTTCAAGTGCCACATACATTATTAAAATGTTGCTGTGTATATTGATAAATATTAAAAATACATAAATATGATAATAAAACCACATATTTGATCACTATAGGCCTACTTTATTGGTTTTTCTTACATCAACCTTTCAGTACTTAGGCCATTATCAAAGGAAGAAACCTATTTTAATAATTCAAAATCACTTTGGGCTGTGTCAAAAATCACTTATACAGTGTTGACTAGTTCAATGGAATTGACAAAGGCAATTCAGCCCAAAATGATTTTTAATTATGAAAATATGTTTCTCCCTTAATAATAGCCTAAAAGCTGAAACGTTGATGTAAGAAAAACAAATAAAATAGAAGTATATTGAACAAATTTTTGTTTTATTATTACTATTAAGTTGAAGTCTTAATCTACAAATTTGAATACATATATTTAAAATAAATAAATATATTTTTAATAAACCTTTTATGTCTCAACTGTTCTTCCTTGGCTTCAAAAACATATCCTTGAATGTCGAAACTTGAGTCAGGGTCTGGTTTGTAAACTGGTTCGGTTATACTTAATGTTCTGTAAAATATGTACAATATTATTTTTAAGAACACAATATTAAATTTATAACTGATAATAGCTAATGTAAGTTTGCATTCTGGCATAACTCTAAAAATACTACTTACCTTAATTTTTTACCATACAAGATTCTATAAATTTCTTCTAATTGAGAATCTTTCAAAGATTCTCTGAGAAGACTCTCAAAAGAAGATATATTACGATTCATATTGTTTAAGAATATTTAACTAAAAGATCTGTATTTTAATACTGTTGCTGAAAGAGTTATGTAATGGACTGGCCTGTTGATAACAACTACTTGTTTTTCATATCTACCTAATCCATCCAATATTTATTTCTTTAGACTATGAACCTATAATACACTACTCATTCTGGTCTTAAGAAATCAGTTGATGTTTTACAATAATTATTTATTTAATTTTAATATTTTATAAAATATATTTCAAATTTTAATAAAAATAATAAAAAATTGAATCAAAATGAAGTATTATTTTTACTTAAATAATAATAGTGTCTTTATTGTCATAACAATAACTTATTGTTACATTTAAAATATTTATACAAACTATTTTAATTAATTAATTTATGTAGTATGATATGCCACTAATATACCCATGAAATAAATTTTAAACTATTAATAATTATTTGTATATCATTGGAAAAAAACAAATTTAAAAATTAAAATATTTGAATAATTTACATAACTTACAATACAGTAAATTAAGACAAGGAATTTCAGAACCAGTTAAGTACATTTTTCATTATTAAAATTTTTTTAGTTTAGATATAATATTACTAAGATAAAATTAAAACATTATCTTTCCAATACAGTTAAAACAAATGTAAATTTACTGTTTTTGAAAGAAATCTTGTTTTCTTTTCATTTCTCCTAAAATTGGTGTCTTGAGGTTCTATTTTTTACATAAACTAGGCCAATCATTTTATTGATAAGCTATTAATTACGACGCTTCGACCATACTAAGGGCCATTTTCAAGTCTTGATGAGTCCTCCGTTAAATATTCATTATTAATGTCACAATGATTTGTTCAGTGAACATTAAATTGTCCAGTTATTTAGGGGTTTCGCCTACGTCATTTCTGGAGGGACTCTATACGTCATACATCAGTCCCTCCAGAAATGACGTAGGCGAAACCCCTAAACAACAGGACAATTTAATGTTCACTGAACAAATTATTGAGACATTAATAATGAATATATAACAGAGGACTTATCAAGACTTGAAAATGGCCCTTAGTATGGTTGAAACGTAGTAATTAATAGCTTATCAATAAAATGTTGGTGAAGATTGGCCTAATTCATGTAAAAAATGAAATCTTATTGATTCGAGATAATCTAATATCAAAACTGTTTATCAAAAAAAAAAAATGAGGAAAAATCGGACTTGGCTGATTATGGAATACTATAGCACAATTAAAATAGTAAAGTAAACTAATTTATTTCAACTTTTCTAAAATTGTCTTGACTTTTTAATAGATCTCCTAGTCTCTTAACAATGGTGTTAATTCTATAATAATAAGAGTACACTCAACAAATTTCCTAATATCTTTTAGATATACTTTACCATATGTTCAAGATTATAGATCAATTAGACAATAGGATAAATGGACCAATAGCTGACATGCTTACGGAAAATTCTTTGACCTTTTAGGAATAAAAACTTAAATATCAATGTTATTGTATTTTTCTTGGATTCATCTTATAGAACTACTTTTCACCTTGCCAAGACACATTTAAAATCCATGTAACATCGACTTAAATTAGAAAAACTAGTAAATTTAGAGAATAGTTTTGATGCATCTGTATCTGAGACTGTTTGGTTTGGAATTTTCTTATTGCTGACAGGAATGAGAACATTGTTGTAATTATGCTAAATAAAGTGTTGAAATGTTATATTTATCATTTTAAAACATTATACTTATTAATAAAAATCACCTTCAACTAATTTTAAAACTACCTTAAGTTTTTCAGCTAAAATGTATTGATACTGTCAAGAAACTGTTTTGGCAATAGGAAAACTTACTTTTGGTTTGTATTGTCACAGTTGACAAAATGGTTGAATGATAGAATTTGAAAATAACAGGTGTTGTGATTAGATTTTTCTTTTTTTGCGAAGGAAGGTTATAGAGTTGGAGAGAGTGATATAGACTCAAAACGTTGTCTTGATTGTGTTGTGAGAAATTTTGTTTATTATTTTTGGCTTAAGTTGTTCCTATTATAAACAAATTGGCTAATTATGGAGATGTTATCACTTATTTAATATCGCCTGCAAAGAAGGAATAGTCAGTAAGCAAGATCTCACTCCGCCTCCACTGGGTAAGCCCTTCTTGATTATAATTTTAACATTAATTAAAAATTAAATTTTAACATTTGACGTTTAAAGGAATGTTACAGTATTTAATCCACACTTCAAGCCATTTTCTTTTAACATGAGACTAGTGGATAATCCCATTTTTAGAATCCATTATATTAAGTATATCTCTTTGAATTTATGCTAGTACTGGCCTGTAAACTATTGCTCACTTATTTTTTCATTATTCACTTTTATTTTGCTTATCAGTACTTTTCATAATTTTTTTTTTCAGAATATGATATATGCCTCATTTCCTCTATGCTAATTTCTGACTGTTTCCCATCAAATCCTCCCCATGTCTAGCATCCTAACCACCTGTCACGTTAACTTGCAATCCCTTCCCACCCATTATGATGAATTTCTGCAGTACTTTTTCCACATCATCGCAATCTCAGAAACCTGGCTCAAACCCTATATTCCGTCCTCATCTGTCTCCTTACCTAATTACACCCTCATCCGCCACGACCGGGTCAGCCAGACTGGTGGGGTGGCCATATTTGTCAATGATAGCCTGAAGTCCCGTCTCCTTGATTACTCCCCACCCTCCGAACATCCACAAGTGGAGTACCTTCTAGTAGTAATTATCTTTAATAATTCCCCTCTCCTTTACATAGTGATCTACTGTCCTCCCCTTGTTCCATTTGATCCGTCCTTATAATCAACCCTACTCAACTTTGTTCCTCTCTATCCTAGAATAATCATTGCCGGTGACCTCAACACTAATTTCCTTTCTAATTCCAAAGACAAAACCTATTTAGAAAACCTATTTTTTTTCCCTCCATCTCTTTATTGTTCCTTTTTATCCTACTCACCACACCCACAAGGCCGACACTTGGTTAGATTTCTTCATTATAGACATCGAACTAAATCTCCTCTCCTCTTCTCAACTGCCAGTATCCTTCTTATCGTCTCACGACATGATCCTAATAACATATAATATCCAAACCCCTCTGATTCATCCGAGAACCTTCACTTTCAGTCAGATAGACACTCTCACCCGTGAAAAAATGCTACCTGACCTTGAAACCTTAGACTTAACGAAATATATTCCTGCTCCTCCATCGACTCCATGGTTGAGATCCTGACTTCCAATCTCCTCAATATCCTTAACACCCATGCTCCCATAAAAACCTTAACCTTTCGCCGCCGGCCTGCACCTTGGATGTGTCAAGAAATCAAGGATCTGCAGAAGAGGCGTGATGCTGCCCGCAGACGCTTTAGACGTACCAGAATTACAGATGACTATCAAGCGTTTAGGGTGCTCCGCAATTTGACAAAAACAAGAATTTGGCGAGCTAAAGCTTCCTACTTCCATGAAGCCCTTTCATCTGCCCCAGATCCCAAATCTAAATGGCTAATCCTTTGCAAACTTTCTCTCTATGAACCTTTCAGATCCCCTTCCTCACTGGTCTTTTCCGTTTCACCTGACGATTTAAATTCACATTTTATTTCTGCCTCCTCTACCTCTTCTCTTCCAACTTTGCTCCTGAGTCATCCTTTAATGATGATGACTTTTATTTCTCCAACATTTCCCCGACTGACTTACTAACCGCAGTAATGAAATCCCACACCAATTCCATAGGACCAGATGGCATTTCTGTCAAATTGATAAAATTATGTCTCCCCGAAATCCTCCCAGTTCTCCTTTTCATTTACAATTTCTCCCTACAGAACTCAATATTCCCTTCCTCTTGGAAAAAAGCCATTGTACTCCCTTTAAATAAAAAGCCTAATCCATCCTCTCCTGAATACTTTCGCCCAATCTCAATTCTTTCCAATCTCTCAAAACCCCTAGAAAGATTGGTGCAACCCCAAGTTTCCAATTTCCTCGAAAAGTCCAACCAATCTGGTTTCTGTCCCGGCTACTCCACACAATCCGCCTTAATCAAAATTACCAATGATGTTCAGACTGCAATAGATAATAAACAACTAACTGTCCTTATACTTCTTGACTTCTCCAAAGCCTTCGATTCCATTAACCATTCCATCCTTTTCAACAAACTAAAATCACTTTCCTTCTCCAATAGTTCCATCTCTTGGTTCCAATATTTTCTCTCACAACGCACCCAAGCAGTCTCCATTCCTAATCAACCACTATCTGCCTACCTGCCTTTATCCTCTGGAGTTGCCCAAGGATCTAGCATATCTCCTCTCCTTTTTAGTTCCTATATTAATGACCTCCATCACTCAATTCTCCATTGTTCCCACCACTTTTATGCAGACGATTCTCAAATATACCTATCCTTTTCTCCCCCTGAGCTATTGGTAGCATTTACTAAGATCCAAGCAGACCTAGATCGAATCTGTGCCTGGGCAAACTTAAACGGATTAAGGTTAAATGCTTCAAAAACTCAGGCCATTGTCATTGGTTCCAAGCACCTCCTTAGATCCTATACCGACTTTCCCATACTAAACTTTGGTGACCAGCCAATCTCCTTCTACTCGTCTGTAAAAAATTTAGGACTATTTATTGATCAAACCCTCTCCTGGAGTCACCATATTTCTTACATCTCCCGACGGACAGTTTCTACCCTCAAACTATTCCATCGCTTCTGCCATCTCCTACCTCAACATAAGCGTAGACTCCTCGTTTCCTCCCTCACCTTCCCCCACTTTGACTACTGCTGTATGGTGTATAATGGACTCTCGGTGGACAGACTGAAAAGATTAATGAACAGTTGCGTGAGATTTGTAATTGGTGCCCCGAGATACTACCATATCTCTCACCACTACACTGAGTTAGAGTGGCTCTTCCCCTCCATTCGAAGACAATATTTCCTAGGTACATTCCTCTATCATATCATCAACAATCATTGTCCTTCCTACGCCTACAACCTTCTTCAATTCAAGTCCTCAGTCCACTCCCTCTCCACAAGATCTCGACCTTCCGACCTTTACATTCCTTCTCACAGATCTGCCTCGTTCCAAAACTCCTTTATTGCTCGTTCTGTTAGTTTCTGGAATTCCCTTCCTATCAAAATTCGACATTCTTCATTCTTATCTACATTCAAAACCCTCCTATTCCAATTCCTGTCCCAAAAACAGTCAGATACCAGCTAACCTTTTATGTAAAATTACATATTATTTATAATAACATATTCATATATAGCTCATAACCTAAATACCTATTATAGATTCGACTTTCTTTTTTCTTTTTTTTCAACAGAAACACAGATTTTACTGTTAAGAAGAATTTACATTTATTTTTTCTGTATTTTTTATTTTTTCTAAAAGGGTTTATTTATATTTTAACATTGTACATAGTTTTAAGTATCTTAGTATGATTTCAAGAGTTTTTTATATAGATTTTTTTATTTTATTTTGTATATAGTATGTATAACCAATATTTTTTTCTTCTTTTTTTTTAATGATTTATCTTAACTTTTTATGTTTGTTTTTATCTGGCCAGATATAAAATTTTAATTTCTTTACTTTTTTGTTATTCTGAAGGGACTTCATCCCAGAATAAAATTATTTTTCTATTCTATTCTAAACTACTGGTTAAGCGCCCAATATAAGGCTCTAGTAGCCGAAACCCATTAAATTTTCAATTACTTTATTAACAATTGATAAAAAATAATCTAGAAACACACTAAAATAAAATTTAAAAAAGCTTTGGGATCAATAAAAGTAGTTGAAGAGAAACAGAAAAACCTGAGTTATGGTGTCCTTAATGAAAGATGGTTGTTCGTGGGACACTAGTGGATTGTGAGAGACCATACTGGTTTGCTACACATTATTTTGGTTGCGGTTTCCAGCATATCTAAAGCAAAACAAACAAGTATACAAGAAGAAATATAGAAACCAAGCATTTATGAAATAAAGGCCTAGACGACCCTGAAATCTTATTCCCATTTTTTTAGGAGTATGTCAGGTACTTGTGGCCGAATGGGGTAAAATGTGTGCAACGCACCGCGAGTTTCTGGGCAACCAGATAACCGAAGCTATGAGATTAAAAAGAGTTCGCATCCCGGTACCGAAGGGGATTTTACATTTCCCGCCCTCACCCTCCAGCCCAAAAAAAGGAAGTTACTGGTATAGTACTGTTACCCTAAATGGGCAGGGAACAACTTTTTTCTTTTCTGGTTTCTTATAGTGGCCCAGAAATGACAACAGCATTCATTGGGGTTTTCTCAACTTATATGTAGAATTTTATTTTCTTTAAAAAGGATAGCTCAGTGTGTAAGGCACTGTGTGCCTGCGTTCAAGGTCCTTAGTTTGAGTCTGGCTGTGGCAGGTAATTATTTATTCTATTTCATCTGTATTGGATCTATCCTGCTGGGGCCCACCCAGCCTCTAAATAGTCAGCCAATCTTAATTAAAAGGAAAAACCTGGTGGTTGAATGTCATCATCTCCTTGCATAGATGCAGACTTTGGGAGGGGGGGTAATAGCTCCCTCCACCTCCAATAATTAGAGAGGGAGCGAGAATATCATTTAATCTCTCCAATAGGTCAAAGAACAAAAGTTAATTAAGAAAATAGTAATAGTCTACGATGGATAGTCCAAGATGGATAAGCTAAGGCCTAGAAGAAGAAGGCACATGAGTATTTTACCATGATTTATGTCCATATTATTTTTATTTTAGTTTATATTCAAAGATAATTATATTGTTTAGTTAATATTGTACATATATTTTAATACTGTTTTTCGTTTTACAATAATTATGTTGATTATGTAAACTATCACTTATAATTTTTATATCTCATTTTAAATCTAATCCATGGACCAATAAATTTATTTATGATAAAAAAGTTCTCACTGGCTCAGAATGGACCAATGCTATGAAATTAAACGTAGATTACACTCCTCTCCGCAAAGTACCAAGGGCCGGAGACCAAATTAATGGAGATGTTGGTTGTCTGCCACAAATGTGGCTTTAAATAGGTAACAGCAATTTTGTATGAAACTATAACAAATGTTACTATTATTTATTATATGAATTGTAGTAGATAGCCCCCTGTATTTACTTCTTTGTGTGACATTGTGTGGGAGAATGAGAAGGAATATATAATATATAGGAATGTGAGGTTGCATGATGAATTGTACTCAATTGCGCAGTGGACAAATTATTCATTGAAAAATCTGATATCGATAAACAATCGATGAGGAAGGAAAAAAGTCCTGTAAGGTAGCAGCAGCTAGGGAAGGACGCCGAGAAGAGGAGAGAGGGCACTTGAGGCAGAAACACGTAGGCAAGAGGACATTACCTGAGATGAGAGAGGCAGGACATTGAAGACCAAGAATATCAAGCCTGCAGTTATAAGACTTTAATATATTCATTTATTATCAGTTGTTAAAATAAATTGTTTTGTTAGACAAGAGTGAATAGTCCTTTTATTTAGTTGTCCTATAGGCCTCACAATTGAAGAATAATAAACAAGGTGAGTCAATTCATTCAAAGTGTATTTACTCAGTCCCACATTATATAGATATGTTCTTATTGTTTCTTGTCACAGAGTGTCACAAAAGGTATTAGATTCCAGAATTCCCAACGACAGTTAAACACCCTCAAAAAGTCTACATCCAGGGAAGGGGTTTTATTTTAATATTGACAAGTGTAAATAACCTAGTTCCCCGATATAAAAGCGGAAGTCTATGCTCCAATGTCCCACCAAAAACAGAATATTTATATTAAACATTAATAGGCTATTTACAGAATCATGAATCACCCATCATGCTATTACTATTAATACAATTTATTTTAATTATTCCTACAACGAATTGATAATATCTCTTTTTTTATTATAAACGAGAATTTTAATTGTTTTTCTTATAGGCATTGCTTAAAGGAACAAAAATCATTTATTTCTTTTTCTCATGTTGACTTGAAATATATATGCTTTACTTTTATCTTCATTTTATCCATAGCCATCATATCTTTCCAGATTTAAAAAGATATATATTCCAATTGATGTGGAATGTTTAGTTTGAAGAGAGAATGCCTGAAGAGTGGAAAATAGCAGTGATATGCCCAATTCATAAAATAGGCGACAAACTATATTGTGGTAATTATCGAGGGATAGCACTACTGAATACAGCCTACAAGGTATTTTCTGTGTTATGATAAAGTTTTCCGAACAGATAGTGGGCGAATATCAGTATGGTTTCAGATCTGGAAGACCAACCATTGATCAAATATTCTCATTAAGATAAATTCTTGAAAAGGGATATGAATTTCACGTTGAACTCTATAATTTGTTTATCTATTTTAAGCAGGCATACGACAGTATTGATAGAGAAGAATTACTAAAGATAATGCTTGAATTGGAAATTTCCAGGAAGCTCATTAGGTTAGCAAAAATTACAATGCATGATAGCAGGATGAAGATAAAAATACAGAGAGTGCTATCAGAAGAATTTGCAGTAAATAGTGGCCTGAGGCAGGGAGACCCACTATCACCTGTCCTTTTCAATTTATTCTTGGAAAAAGCTATTAGGGCAATACGAACCAATTCTAATGGAACAATTAATGATCGACTCACACAGCACTTGGCATATGCGGATGATGTGCTCATAAGAAGCACTGCAGCGCTAGGAGGAGCTTTTGAGGAGTTTGAAAGGGAAGCAGTAGAAGTGGGCCTTCATGTAAATAAGGGAAAAACAAAATATTTAAAAACTTCCAGGCAACCAACAACTGGAATACCATGATCTGCAGATTGGCGATCACAGTTTTAAAAGTACAAGCACGTTTAAGTACCTGGGTGCAGTTATTGGCAAAAGCATGAAAGAAGAAGTGAATGCCAGGCTGGCTGCAGGTAACAAGTGCCTTTATGCCATACTAAGAACGTTAAAGTTTAAAGCTCTGAGCTTCATATGGCTGTGAATCATGGGTTTTGATCAGTGAAAGTGAAAGGAAGCTCAATGTCTGGGAAAGAAAAATACTCCGGAGGATATATGGGCCAATAAGAGAAAGTGGCACGTGGTTAAGAAACAATTACGAGCCCCATGCAATGTATGGCAAACCAGACCTGGTATCATTTGTGAAAAAAACCCCGCCTGAGATAGCTCAGACATGTGGAAAGGATGCCAGAGAACAGAATTTCAAGACGCCTGCTATATGGAAAAATTGGAGGGAAACGATATAGAGGAAGGCCAAGAATGCGATGGTTGGATGATGTTGAAGAGGACCTCAAGTTGTTCGGAGTAAGAAGATGGAGAACAGGAATGACTGGCTTGGAGTCCTTGAGCAGGCCCAGCTCCATTTAGGACCATAGCGCCCAGCATTAAGTAATATCTTTCCAATATACTAATAAAGTATGTTTACTTAAACTGTTTAAAGAAAAACATCCTTATTTAATAAGTTTCAAGTTCTATATTAATTAAGGTAGGGTTTAAAAAATTAAAAAAAGAAAACTAATATTAAGAAGCCTGGGGCTGTGAAAGCTAAAGATTGTTATCTAGGACATCTATACTAATATTTGAGATCAATTTTTGAATTCAATTTTCAGAAGGTTGATATTTTTTTTAACCTGAATTACTAGATTCAGAAATGCTAAATGGTCAAATAATATTCTGCCTCCATCCATTTTTTAAACCATAAGAATTTTAAAATTTCCCAGTTTTTTAACCGACTTATATTAAAATTGTAGGAATTCAGGGATCAAAATAAGCTTTGTCACTTCTCCATGAAATTGCCTTTCATTTGATAACCTATTCATGAATCATCGAAACCAAAAAAGATATCTATACTCTATAACATTGTGTATAGTGTAGATAACCTTTTTTTTATATGATTTATAAAAAAATATTCAATTTTCTGTTTATTATTATTATTCAAGACATGCTTACATTTTAACCATTTTTTTTTTTAACTTTTAAGCATTCATATTTACAACATATTTTATACAATTATTTATGACTCTTATTCATATTATTCAACACATGCTTACATTTTATTCATTATTGAAACTTTTAAGTATTCATATTTATAATATAGTTTACACCATTATTTATGACTTATAGTTATTATTCAACACATCCTTACATTTTATCCATTATTGAAACTTTTTAAATATTCATATTTATAACATAGTTTATACCATAATTTATGACTTATAGTTATTATTCAACACATGCTTAAATTTTATCCATTATTGAAACTTTTTAAGTATTCATATTTATAACACAGTTTATACAATACTACTCTTAATGATTTGAGGCTCGTAATCACTTTGTAAAGATTTTTTGAGAGCTTCCACATACATAGGTAGTCGCTCCGTCATCTATAAATAAAGAATAATATATAGTTTATAAAAAGGTGATATATTTTAAAAAGATAAAATATGACGGTAAATAATTTACCAAAACAGAAGCTTATTGAGAAAGAAAGAAAGAAAAGTAAACTTTATTCTGGGACATTCAGTCCCCTAAGAATAATAAAATGAACAATTTGTTGAAATTTGTCTGATATAAGAAGATGATCAAGAATTAATTAAATTACATGGTTCATGGTCGAGGTTTGATATTAAAATGATAGAAAGGCACAAGTTAACATCTGAATTATAGATAGATATATATGAGCATGTTCACATACAAACAATAGATAATATATAGGTATCTATACAATAGCAATATGAGGCTGACATCTCTAAAACACAAAAATATTAATCTTATATTTATTCGGAATACTGAATGCTAAGAAGTGGAAAAATAAATGGTGTTTAAATGAGGTTAAGGATGAGGATTTGTGTGCGGAAGTAGATAGGGAATTTTTAAAAAAGGTAGCATATTGTTATAGGAATCAAAAACCTATTACATTATCAAATGTTTAACCCTTTGACTGCAAGAGCTTATTTGCATGTTTCTACCAGATGGTACATGCTAAAATCCTATAGGTATCTGTACACATGTAATATATAATATGTGATAAAAATACATTAAAACTTATAAAAGTTACCACAAACCGCGGTCTGATTTCAAAAAATGAACCAGGAAACTTAAATTTTGAAATTTTAAAGCCAATCACGTTTTATGTTGAATAAAAATTAATAACTAAAAAAATATTTAATTTAGGTTACTACAAATTACTTCATAGTAAGCTAGATTAAATCTATATTAAATGCAAATAAATCTTCTCTCTTTTTTTTTTTTAATCATTTAAAGGGGACTTTTAAGCAATTAAACTAAGGTAAGTTCGGTTTTTCATAAAATCAAAGATTCTAAGCGATTTGTTTTATAATTCCCCAACTGGTCTGACGATACCACATTTCAGAAAAACTTTCTTGTTTGATTTACTTTTGTTTAATGTAAATTTAATCTAGTTTACAATGAAGTAATTGGTTGTAACCTGAATTAAACTAAACATTTTTTAGCTGTTGCTTTTTGTTCAACATAAAACATAATTGGCTTAAAAATTACAAAATTTAAGTTTCTTGGTTCTCTTTATGTAATCAGATCATGGTGTATGGTAACTTTTTTTAAGTTTTAATGTCTTTTATCACATATTATGAATGATATGAAATTAATGTCAATCTAAACTTTATATCACTATGACAAAACTCTTCATTGATTGATATCAAATATAATTCTGTTGTCAATGACTTTTTAGAATCATTAAAAGAAACTTTGAATAATAATTTGAACAATCGAAAATGTTAAAAAACTAATAAACTTAAAAAATGTGGTGATATCAAACATCAATTTTGTGGTTTGAAGCAATTTTTGCTTAAAGTGGAAATACAATAAATTTAATCTCAAATATATCTCCATAACTATTGATTTTATCAAAAAAAGTATATCATTCTTAGAGATACTTTAATATTGTACTACACAATCTTTGCAAAAAACCTCCTAGCTTTTGTCATATTCTCAAAAAACTAAAAGAATATCAGTTTTCTCTCCTTCTCCTTCTCCCCCCACCAAAACCCAATGTGGGATTCGTTGGGACTTTTTACTAGTTATTATGAAGAGGATAATAAACAATTTCTGACAAGTTTCATCTTCATTTTTTTACTGTTGGGTCAATCCCTAATTTTACTGGACTAAGAGTAGATCTTTCATCTAATTCCTTTTTAGCCTTCTGTGGATGTTATCGGACATGTTTTTATTGGCTATGTCTTGAATGAATCTATTGGGGTGACCGTTGTAAAGCACGCTGTGAAACCTTTTATAGTAAGTTTGTATCTGTTTAGTGAAGGTTTACATGCTTAAATGTTTGTGGAGAATCATGTTACTAACATACATACCAAGGTGCTTGATTAATTGTCCTGAAAGGTTTGTAGTTTCTGAATGTGTGTTTTTTTAGCAATTTGTGAATAACAATGTTAAAAATTTAATTTTAAATGACTTGTTTTGGCAGGAATAGTGAATAGCCTTCCGCTTTTTTTCGGAAAACTAGGTTATTTACACTTGTGAATATTAAAACAAAACCTCGGCACTGGATATAGACTTTTGAGGGTGTTTAACTGTTGTTAGGAATCGGGAACCTAATACTTTTGTGACACTGAGTGAGACGAAACAATAAGAATATATATATATGAAATGTGGGACTTAGTAAGTACACTTTGAATGAATTGACTCACCTGGTTTGTTATTCTTCAATTGAGAGGCCTATAGGACAACTAAATAAATAAACGACTTTTCACTCGTGTCTAACAAAACTATTTATTTTTACAACTGTAATAAGTGAATCTATTGAAGTCTTATAACTTTAGGCTTGATCTTCTTAATCTTCAATGCAGTGCCTCTCTCTTCTGACAACCTCCTTTCTTCCTGTCCAGGCCTAGGGTCCTCTCGCATCCGTGTCCCAGTCTCAAGTGCCTTCTCCTCCGTGTCCCAGCTTCAAGTGCCTTCTCCTCCGTGTCCCAGCTTCAAGTGCCTTCTCCTCCGTGTCTCAGCCTCAAGTGCCTTATTCTCTCCAGCGTCTTCCTCTAGCTGTTGCTACCTATTCCATCCTTTTTCCAGCGTCCTTCTTCATCGATTGTTTATCAATGAGTCTTTTCAATGAATAATTTATCCACTGCATAACTGAGTACAATTCACAGTGCAACCTCACATTCCTATATATTATATATTCCTTCTCATTCCCTCACACAATGTCACATAAAGGAGTAAATACAGGGGATGTCTACTATAATCTTTACAACTAAGTACAATCCATAACTTTTTTAGAGAAACCGTGTAAAAAGATCTGTGGTTTAATAGTCATAAAGTATATAGGTCACTAAGCCATAAAGTTTATCATGATCTTCCTTGGTGGTTGAAAACCAAAATTTTAAGTCTCCATTCAGTTTTTGTAGAATTTTCATTTAATTTCCAAGGCCTATCTGATTTTCAAAACCACTTAGCATAAAAAGATTAATCAAAAATGTTAGAGCCGTTTTCGAGAAAATTGTAAACATGTGTAAAAAATATTATCCAAGCGGTAATTCAGGTTAGCTAATCTTGACAAAAAGGTTGCTGTAACATCCTAGGCATACATTAAATATATAATTTCAGTTTCCTATGACTTTTCATTTTTGAAATAGGTTGTTGAAATACACACATACAGAGCATTTTGTGATGCTTTTGGTCTAAGGGGACCTTAAAACATATATTTTCGTTAAAAATTTGGATACAAAATATATTACAATCTCAATATCTTTTTCTTATACTTTTCATTTAGAATCGAATAGAATAGAATAGAAAATAACTTTATTCTGGGAAGAAGTCCATTAAGAATAACAGAATATTACAGAAAAAAAAGAATATCTGACCAGAAAACTTGTAACATTAAAAAGTAGCTAAATAAAAAGCTTTAAGTAAATAAACTATATATTCAAAATCAAACCAGTGAGACTATTTACTATTATATACAATACAAATAAGAAATTAAAAAGACTATAATAACTATAAACAAAATAATAACTGCATAGTTAAAAAGATTAAAGAATATATTAATCAAAAGAAATATATTAAAAAGCCAAAAACAAACAAAAACAGTAGAATACAAAATAAGGTCCTCTAATAAATGAGCAACAAAACTCCTATGAATAAAAGAAAATTTCAATTCATATTGAAATACACATACACATAAACCAAAATATATACATAAACCGTATTATCAAAAGAAAGTTAGTGTGAAAAAAATATATATACATATACATGCATATATTATGCACAAAAGATCATAAGTAATATGTAAAAAAATAAAATAAAAAATAAATTAAGATAAAAAATAATGCTTTTTACATTATTACTTAATATGCGGTTAGCTGTTTCCTGACTGTTGCGAGAAAAGAAGTTGGAACAGGAGGGTTTTAAAAGTGGATAGGGAGGGGGCATGTCGAATTTTTAGAGGTAAGGAATTCCAGAATGAAGCAGAGCAGTCTACAAAGGAGTTTTGAAAAGGAGTATTTTTTTACAGGTAAGAATATGAATAAGTAAAGATATGATTAATCAATAATAAAATTATACCTTGAATCCCCAAGAATCAGAAATTTGTCTGTTTAAATTGAGATCCAGTTCTGCGACCAGCAACCCATCTTGTACTCGAGATAATCCCTGTTAAATAGATAAAATAATTAAAATTAATTAATATAAAGGGATAAAAAAAAAAATCTACAGTGTGTGCTTAAGAATTTTCAAACACTGCCAAAAGCCGTTTTCAGCGATTTATGGTGTTTAATATCACAAAAGGGACTGAGTGAAAAATTATGAAATTGAAACAGTTTATACAATGATAGAAACATGTGATATAAATTTTATCACCGAGACTCAACTGGTCCTATTACTTATAACGCAACAAATATTGCATCCTAGAAAAACTTGGTATCAGCATATCCTTTATATTTTATTTTTGCAGATATCAAAAATTAAAATTATGATGATGTTTGGCTTTAAATATTTTGTCTTCACAATACAACCACTAAGTAGTTAGGAAAGTTGCTAAAAAACAGACAACTATAAAATGAAAAAGCTTAAAACCAGACGTTTAGCACAGCAAAAGTGTAATAATGAAAAGAGTCTCAAATTTAATTTTTTTTTCATAAATAGTTCAATCACTTTACTACTTGCTTTCAATTTTATCAATCTTTAAAACAAAATATTGAGATATGAATTTAAAAAACAACCAATTTCCTTGTTTTCTGCTGGGAATTAAGCAATTATTTATATAAACTTTTTTGTAGATCTCGATGTTTACCGTAAACCTTTTAAATATTTTCCTCTACTTATGGAACACCCTATATAAGTCCTTATACTTCAAAGATTTATTCAAATTCAACGACGTTTTGATTTGCTCATTCTCAAGTCATCTACAAACAATTAACAAATGTAATTGTTGTTTACCGTAAACCTTTTAAATATTTTCCTCTACTTATGGAACACCCTATATAAGTCCTTATACTTCAAAGATTTATTCAAATTCAACGACGTTTTGATTTGCTCATTCTCAAGTCATCTACAAACAATTAACAAATGTAATTGACAACAATAATTATGCATTATCTAGTCATATAAAAAGTGAAAACCTAGCAATCACATTAAATATTAATTTTCAGCACACCAAATACAAAAATAATACTATTTCTTGTTTCATGGGCATTTATCCTAATGCTTGTCCATTTTTAACCCTCAAATAAATATGGAATAACTAGTGAAAAAATTATAAAAATAAAAAATGACAAGCAAACAAAATTAATTCAAATTGAGAGATTTCAAATGGATTGACCCTTTCTTAAGTATCAGTAATCTTACCATAAGTTCTGACATGAAATTTTTTTTTTTTTTCTCCTATGCCAGTCGTTGGTCATTTGGCCATCCGACATCTTGCTACCCAGTATAATTTCTAATATATACATTTGAAAATATTTTTTCTGTTATGTCGCACAAGGCAGGACATGTGTCAAGATGGTCTGCATCCATTGTTCCTTGATGACACAATTTACAACTAGGATCCTCAACCACGCCTATCTTGTAGAGATGACTGCAGATAGTCGTGACCAGTGGCCAGGCGGAAGCAGGCTACTGCATCTCTTCTCGGCAGGAAAGAATTATTGAACCTAATTTGAAAACTTCTGAAATTGGTCTTTATATACTGTAATGCTTAACGTTTTTTTTTTTTTTTTGGGTCCTCCCCTTCCTCGCCGTTAAGCCAGTTCAGCCATCCCGCCCACAAATGCCTAAACTTATTCCTAATAGGTACTACGTCTATGGAATTTAATAAGAAAACTAAAATTCAATTCAACAATTTCTAAATTGATTTGGAATAATCCCAATTAAGTTTGGAAAGTTCTAAATTTGATTTGGAATAATCCCAATTTGTTTTGGAAAACTTTAAATTATACTTGGAAATGCTGTAATAATAAAGAATATGAGATTAATAAAGAAAGCTGATATAATCGTAAAAATGATTTAGAAGTTTTATCTATACTTTTTAAGTTTTTTAAATTTTACTATAATAAAAAACATCTGGTGGGGTGCGCGCATCACACAACTTTAGCATACCACCCTTTCTTATCAGAAATAAGTTTTTTCAGACAAAGGTAAAATGAAAGTAATAATTATAGACACTATATTTATTTATATTTCATTGTGTTTATTTTTATTCGTTTAAGTACCCTTATATACACAAATTATACTATTTATACCGCTGTAATCTATACAATCAAATATTTAATAATAACAACGATAGCATTTATGAAAACCGCATATGTATGTAATATTGTCGGAGTCAGTATTATATTAAGCTCATGTTGCGTATGGAAGCCTGTTCTAACCTTTCAGGTGTGCTCATATTCCTTTGGTTTCTCCATTACAACTATTCTCCATTACGATCTCTTATTTTTCCTATAGTTATTTATCAAATTCTATCATATTTTATATTTCATATCAGAGATCAATGTGAAATGGTTAATAGTCCCAAATAAAAAAATTAAAGGTACTTTAGAAGCTAATATTGAAAATTAGACATTTAAGTTCTGATAGTGAACATAAATGAGAATTTTAGAAAATTTTCACAATCGTAATACTTTCCTTTACTATATTTTTCATAAATAGGTAAGTGAAAGTAATAAATACAGTCAATACAAAATAATTATTTGTTGGTAATAAGTTAAATAAATTGATCTTACAGGAGTCCTTGTTCCATCAGGGGCAGTAATGTAACTTGATCCATAAAATTGTCCAGATTCATTACGTGCCTTGAGACCTTCACCTGGCGTAAAATCGCGAGGGTATCTTTCAATCCTAATTCTGTTAATAGCACATGTAAAATAATGGTTTGCAATAGCAGCATTGCGAGCTTCAATCCTCCAAAGATGTTCACTAAAAATAAATATGATTATAAATAAAATAATATAAATATATAAATAAACACCTCATTAAATAAAGAATTTAATTTATTATATATAATCAATATATGATTAAGTTTATACAAAAAAAAACTTTTAATCCCACACCACATTTTTATTTTATAATTAAAACATCTTTTTAACAATAATTATGATTTTAAGTTTGGAAAATGCAATAAACTTTAAATCAGATTCAAGAAACATAATCCTTAACTAGGCAGAGCTTTTCAAAAAGTTAAATAGATAATGTTTATTATTAAAACTGATAAACATAATAAATTAAAACTAAACTTAATAGAGGGTGCTTTGGATATTATAATAAATCTGTCTAGATTACAGCTCATTAGAAATGGGTGATGGTCGATAGTTTTCAACTATTGACATTTCGTTAGTATCGATAAAAACATTCGATAGTATTGATAGTCTAGTAATTTCCTGACACAGAATGAAAGAGGATTTATTTTTGCTGTATTCTTTAGTTATTTACTTTGAAAAGCTGCATACATTTGATAATAATTAACATTTATATTGGGAACGTCCTTAAAGATTTATGTTAAGGCACTAATAAAAATTATTAAACAAATAATAAAAAAATTATTGACAGGAAAATACATTTATACAAAGTTCCATTTATACTGACAGTCAAGCGGCCATACGAGCAGTGGACAATCACACAACTAGATCTAAGGATGTTAAGAATGGTGTGAGGGTTCTTAATGACCTATATAGATTTGATAAGGTACACATTGAATGGGTTCTAGATCACTCTGGAATTCATGGAAATGAGATGGCAGATAAATTGGCCAAATTAGGCTCATAAGACTAATTTGTAGAATTAGTCTGCATCTAATAAATAATAGATTTGGGGAGGGAGATATATGGTGTTGAAGTCAAAAAATACTGGTGCTCGAAAAAAAACTGGCTCACTCTAGATTGTTCCTGGATGGAATCTTTCCAGAAATAAACCAACTACTAATTAACTTAAGCAGGAACTCATATAAGAAAATGATGGCGTTATATACTGGACACTGTAAACTGAATTATCACATGTTCAATCTTCAGTTAACGGAGTCGCCTCTTTGTAGGTTCTTTGGTCTGGAGGATGAACCGGCCTATCATATCACTTGTTGGTGTAACAGGTTTGGTGAATTGAGGTTCCGTTTGTTCGGCATTTATAGAGTGATTGATCCCAAGACAAATGAGCTTATCAACCCAACAAGCCTACTTATTACATACTATTATACTAGTTTATCGAAATTGCAGGACTTATGCTCTATTAGGAGTGTCTTTAATAGAGGCATACAATAGGCCTTCATGGTCGTGGTACATATTGTTTTTGTTTGTTTGGATTTTATGTTTTTCAATAGCTAGACAGATGAAAACACTTATGTTCGATTAAGCAAAAAATAAATAATTAATGGATCTTGTGAAGATTATTAAATAGCGAACAATCGTTAATATATTGAAATTAAATCATACATTCAAGAACATTTACAATAACCTGGTCTAATCAATTTAAATGTATCTAAGATGCATTATTAATATTAATATAATATTAAATACACCCACAAGTTGTAATTAATTTTTGCAGACATTTTTAATTTTAATTTTACCGAACAAGTCTCCATTCCGACTAGGACAGATAAGAGAGATAGTATTATCCTTTAAAAAGTTTTATAGTTGAAGCAGGAAATGAATCTATGAGATGTCTATTCTTTAAAAAAAAAAAATCGTTTATCGATTTTATAAATTAAATAAAAGCAGTATCATAATTTTGTGAGATGGAAGGTTGAAATTGTTACTTCGTGCTACTTAATATCAAAAACTCATTTTATGAAATTATTTTTTAACAACTAATTGATATTTTTAGGATTCAGTGACTAATTTAAAATATAAAAAAAGGTACATGAATTTATGTAATACATAACAATATACTTGGTTATTTTAGGGTCAATAATCTTTTCATTTGAAATAGATAATCCTCCAAAAATAAACTAAGAAGTTTAATTCAATTTACAAGATTAAATTATAAGGCGCAGCTGGGAATCTGATTTAATATTTTTTAGGATTGTAGTCTTAATAAACAAATAGATATTAAACCTGCAGTCGGCTGTATAAAAAGATCTGGACCGACAAAATATATTTTTTTAATATTTATTTTAGTGCTTTTTCAAAATAATATTGTGGACTTGAAAATACGAATAAGTAATTTCTTTTTTCATGCAGTGTACCATTTGGAATCGCCGTTCATGATTATAAAAAGAAATCGTGCCAAACATATAAAATGTGAGTGAATGAATAATAAAAATAATGTTGAACAATTTTTGTTGTAAATCAAACATAATTCGATAGTTGGGTTTGACAGGGTTGTAAAACGTTATAAATCAATATTTCACCGATTCAATTAGTAAAATATCTCAGGCAACTAATCTATTTATCATTAACGAAAAGAAAATTATTTTTCCAATACCTTAAAAAAATAGTTTTTTTCCACTTTTCAACCGTGGTGGGGGCGAAAAGGGAAAAAATAGTATCGAAAACAAAATGATAACAAGTTTTATTGACGATATAGATTAAAATATACCAGAAACTAAAAAATAGGACTTGCATAATGTAAGCAAGGGAATTGTTCATCATTTCATCCTCTCTGTAATGGGCTATTATTCAAAATTGTATCTTTACGCGACGCTGTGTTAGAGAGGTGTAAAGGAAAAAATAGCGTCGAAAACCAAATGATGAATTTTATGAAAGATATGGTTTAAAATATCTCGGAAACTAAAAATTGGACCTGCATACTGCAAGCAAGGGAAATGTTCACCATTTCATCCTCTTTATAATGAGCTACTATTTACAATTTATATTTCATATTATTAATATTCTTGTTGATGTTTTCACTTCTATCGTGTGACCTAAAGCACACATCTTAGTTATTTTGTTTTGTTTTTTATAAACTTAATCATATATTTATTAAATATAATACCTATATAAAAATCTTTAAAAAAAAATTAATAATCAAAATAAGTTTGTTCATCATCAAAATTTAATTTATTTTAGAAATCTATCATAAGTAAATCTATAAACCTCGATTCTTTGACAGTGGCACAGGGATTGAATACGATTTCGGCACCATTGATAGCAAACATCATCCAGTTCAAAGGGTGATGTCGCCCAAAGGATACATTGACAGCTATTTTCCCGAACTCAGTCTGTAATTAAATAATTCAATTATTCACCTTTGTTTTTACTTATAATAGCGAATTTAAAGTAAAATTTTAAAATAATATACTTCAAAAACTGGATGCCCTGTATCTCCTTCCACGTAATACATTGATTCATCCAAATCCGCAACCCTAGAAATGTGGTTTTTTCTATGTTTCCCCAAAACATTACCATGGTTATCAATTATTACAGCTGTGTTCCACATCACCTCTTTTTCATCTTTCTCAAGAATGGGGGACACAATCACCATGTTGTGACGTTTGCACAGCTATACATACGAATAAATTATTAATAAGCTATAAAACAATAAATTTTAAGCAGGATATTTTAAAATAATATTACTGGTTTCAAAAAATTAGTTGTTGGTCCATCTTCAGCCGATTCAGCAAATTCACACCAAGGAGATTTTTCTCTTGTATAAAATGCAAAAGGCATTGCTAGACAATACATAAAAAATAATGTAAAAATAATAAGTATTTAATACAACAATACTAGTCCGTGGTACAGACTGCTTTTTATGAAATTATTAACATCCTGATACTTTGTTACTATCTCCATCTCATCGTAAGAAACAACTATTTTATTAACAAAAATTCTTGAAATGGGGGCGTTTTCAATTTGGAGATCAGCAAACTTTGCCTATTCAATTAGGTACTAAAAACTCGTAAATACCCATTTGCTTTACACTTGAATCGTAAGATAATTTGATAACAAAATCGAGAAAAAAGGCAGCCTTCAAAAATATTGGTCTGTTTGGCGTGACCTACACCCCCAAAATGCCAAAATAACGAGGTTGTATAGATCAAACACCCAATATTTTTGTAGGTCACCTTTTTTTTTGATTTTGTGATTATGTTATCTTACGATACAAGTGGAAAGCAAATAGGTATTTATGAGTTGTTAGTACCTGATAGTCAAAGTTTGTCAATAGTCAAAGTTTGCTGATCTCCAGATAAAAAAACGCCCCAATTCTAAAATTATTCGTATATAAAATAGTTGTGGCTTACGATGAAATGAAGCTATTCACGAACTTTCAGGTGGATGTTAACAATTTGATAAAAAGGGGTCTGTACCACGGATTATACATTACATAAGTGCGTTATAAACTTACGCCATACTTCTTGTAAACATAGTATGTTAACTCCACATTGACCAGCACAATCTATGAAGGTTCCAAGTTTTTTATAAATGGCTTCCCTTTGAGCTGCTACAGGTTCAGATGTTTCTGCTGCAATCTTATTCTGGATAAGTCCAACACGAACGATCCTAAGATATTAAATTGTGTTGTCATAAGAATAATCTGTTTTGATTTATTTAAGGTATGTTTGAACTCGCCATACTTTAAAAAAGTTATTCATTTCATTTGTATCATATTGACATAACTACTGTGAGATACACGTGATTTTGCTTACTCACTACCGAAGGAAGGTGTATCAGAGATACTGAATGCAATATCTTAAGGTATCCTTTCATATTTGAAGTTAATAGAAGGAGGGAAAAATACACCTGAAGCACTAGCTGGCAACAAAATAGTAAGGCAATCCTTTTCATCTGCCTTTGCTATTTTCCTCATTTCCGTTTTTAGCAAAAACTTTGTTTCCCTTAGGAATAAGAAAAAATGCACTTTTATTAACATTACCATTAGGATATGTAAAATACTCTTTTCCTCACTGTGTGACTTTATTTAAACCCTACCCTGCCTGTAAGGCAATACGGGTGTTATGTAGCAGTGAATAGCAACACATGTGTTACAACTCACTGTTTCATTCAGACTAATTACATTTTTTTTTTTTTTTTTCAGCTTTGCATAAAGCCTGCTCTTTCTTCTTTTCAACCGACGTCCTCTTCTACTCTCTAAAGCGGTCTTCCGGATGCAGGTCTATCTCTTCTTACCAACGGAAAGTGGGTTGAACCAACGAGTTCCTTCCACCCTCATACGAAGGCCTTCTAGTAAGGATATTTTTCCTTTGTCATAAGTTGAGGGAGATTGCTCTCCGTCAGAACATAAAGCCCCGTCTGCCTCAACAACTTAGCCCTCAGTGCTTCAAAGGCGGTACAGACAAGGATGTTATGCTCAGCGGTCTCCGGCACTCTGCAACTTGGGCAAGGGGATCAATGTTCTTACCATATTCAATGAGCTTTGCTCAGAAACCCCCATGCTCTGTGAGAAACTGTGAGACCCAGTAGTCCGGGAGAACGCATATCTGTTCCATTCTTGAACCAACAGTGGGGAAGTATTTTCTTAGCATAGCCTCTTTTGGCGTCGTCACCCACCGCTGGTTCCATTCTTTTAATGTGTTCTCCTGAAGAATGCTCTTCCATCTATTAGGGTCTTCACTGATCCTCACATGGAGATTCGCCGGTAGATCCACTAGGACTTCCATCTTCATCTTATGCCAAAGTTCTTCTTGTAGGAGAAGATCAATAGGAGTAGTTCCAGCTAAGACTTGTACCGCCTCATGAGACACTGTCCGGTACACTCTAGTGACCCGCAGCAGAGCCATCCGCTGGATTGTTGCCAACCTTTTCTTCTGATGCGAGAGATGATGAATCCACGCAGAGGACGCATATCTCAGGATGCCCATAATAACTCCTTTATAAATAGTCAACTCTAAACCCACCTATGTCACAATTAGTGGGCACGGTAAAAGTCCAGTGGAAATCATCTCCTACTGAAATAGGAGTTAATATAAGGAGGCAGACGGGGCTTAACGTTCTGACAGAGAGTGATCTCCCTCAACTTATGACAAAGGAAAAATATCCTTACTGCAAGTCCTTCGTATGAGGGTGGAAGGAACTCGTTGGTTCCTGGTGGATACAACTCTAAACCCACCTACGTCACAATTAGTGGGTACGGTGTAAGTCCAGTGGAAATCATTTCCTACTGAAATAGGAGTACGTGCTACTAAGGGAGGCTCAGTCATAGTTCGGATGGAAGATAGCTCCCATGCAGCGAAAGTTATTGGGTGGCAGGATCTACGAGAAGTAGGACTAGAGGCCAAGCTTGCCCTAAAGAAAAGACCTAGGCTTGAAATTAAAGGTGTGCCCAATTCGTGGACTTCAGAGGCATTAATTACGCTCTTACGGGTAAAGTTAATTGATAAATCGATCCCAGCTTCGCTCATAAATGATGGACTTCAGCCTGTTTTCTCTTCTACAGCAAGGAATGGAATAACTAAAAACTAAGTGCTGGGAGTGCACCCAACACTAGGATTCCACCTATTAGACATGACATGCTTGAATGGAGGATGGTGGTCAATGATCTTTCAAGACAACCTCGACGCCCCCCGTTGTACCAAGTGTCAGGACTACGGGCACTCTAAGGCCACATGTCCATCAGATTCACTGGTCTGCATATGGTGTGCAGGTACTGGACATTTTCACAAGGAGTGCCCCAAAAAACTAGCTCAGGCAGGGCCGACATGCATCAACTGTGTGGGGGCAAAGGCCCATCCCAGGCACACTAAGCATAAGGCGGGCAGTCATGATTGTCCTGTGCATTTAAATTGGTCAAAAAAAAATGGCGTTGAGGACTTCTTATGAGTAAGATCTCCATCCTTCTGCTCAATATGGGCCGCCGGCGTCTAGTTGCGGAAGAGCTACGTGCTTTCTTGCAAAGCTACGACATCATGGCAGTCCAGGAACGGAGCTGCTGGGGAAACAAGGTCACGGGGTTTGGCCTCACATCGAGGGTTATAGCCTTACGCAGTGGAGAGAGGAGGCCCAGGGCTGCTATTGTGGTTAACAACCCAAACCTCGATGTGATAGATCTGAGGCAGTTTACCATGGTTGCTTGCCATATCAGATGGGATAATGTCGCCTTTATACTGGTCTCATCATATTTCCTGGACAGAGGCGATATTGACGAAGACATATCCGCCATGAAGATGATCACGGCTTGCACCAGGAACGTGATCATATCCTCAGATACCAACTCCTGGAACACAGTCTGGGGATCTGATCGAACTAATAAAAGGGGCGCTAAGCTCAGTAAATTTATTGCACGAAGCCATCTAGTGGTTATGAACGATCCCTCTACTACCCCAACATTTTCTAGCACTAGGGGACAGAGCTGGATTGATGTTACATTGGTATCACCGGTGCCAGCAAACCACATTAACGATTGGGTCCTCCAATCTGAGACAAGTTCCGACCACCAAGCGATAGCCTTTAGATTGACGAAAAATACAGAAGTTTCCCTCGGGATAGAAAAAGATTACCTCAATGGGTGAGTGGACACTTGAATACCATATCATCAAATTTTCCAGTCGCAGAAGCTTGGGATGAAGTAAGGTTTCCAAGAGTCCTAAAGCAGAAGAACCCCAGGTTCCGTTTAATGAAAAGATTAAATCATTTCTGACCAGGGCAGTAATCTTTGAAGGGATTTTCCCAATCTAAATTTTTCAACAGGTGTTGGACACTGTCAATTTTTATGCAACAGGAAATAACCTATTTTTCCATGTATTTAATCTACATAACTAATAAATTTTCTTCTTCACTAAAAAAATAGTGGATGGTCTCATTTCCTCCATTCCTCCATTGCGGTGTATTTTGCTCTGACTATATAAGAGAGTGTTATATACAGGATTCCATTTTTAAATGAGGCAGCTGGTATGGACATTCCCCTTCAAACATTCCTAAGCATATTTTAATTTTTTGTTTATATCGGAGCCTTAGAAAAAAAACTGGAAGAAAGAAAAACAGAAATCAGATGTTGTTCTAATTGCTGATATATCTTGTTTCAGTACTCGTCACCCCTTATCAGCTATTGGAATATATAATCTACATTGAAAATAGTGTTCAGTGGTAAGCTTATAAAAAACTCAAGTAGTTATATAAAAGAAATGTTTTAAGGAACACCCAGCAGCTGACAGAGCTGTAAGGTGCTGGAGAAAGGGCCAATTTGAGGTTCCGGTAGTTGACAACCATTATATTTTTCTACTCCTAAAAAAAAAAATGTTCAAAATAGTTAAAACATAATATATAAAGACTCAAGGAAGGAATGAAAAACATAAATTTGAGAATAATACAAAGCAATTAAAGGGGAGAAGAAAAACCGTAGCATAGTATCCTTACCGATAGGTAATTTAACGCCTGTTATTTAAATTACTTTTCCCGCTAAGACTAAAGCAGAATATACCAATATTTAAGGGAAATATACAGAAGGCATTTATATTTAAAATAGAATTCTAGGAGGTCCTGAAATCTTATTATTCAAATTTTTTAGAGAATGTCAAGCACTGGTAACTACTGGTCCTTTTATGATAATATTATCTTTAATATAAATGAAAAAATAAATATTATCTTTAATATAAATGAAAAACTAAATATTATCTTCATCGGAGAATGTGAAAAGTATCAATGATGTTTAAAATATCATTATCTGTGGTGCTTAAAATTGTATTGTAATAAAAATAAAATAAAATGTTTATTATTCCATAAGAACTACTGTAAAATAAATATTTGTAATTGATAAACCATATATTTTTACATTATATTTTTTTAGTCATTACATATAAATAATATTAATATAACAATTATATTTTCTTTTTTAAAATAAAACAAAAAAAATTATTGAAATAAAGATAATATACATTAATGAATAGCTGAGGAAGATTTGTGATTGGGGCCCCAAGATACTAGCATGTCTCTCACCACTACGCTGAGTGGCTTTTCCCCTCCTTCCGAAGACAATATTTCCTAGGTACATTCCTCTACCAAATCACCAACAACCATCGTCCTTCTTACGCCTACAACCTTCTCCAGTTCAAATCCTCAGTCCATTCCCTGTCCACAAGATCTCGACCTTCTAACCTTTACATGCCTTCTCACAGATCTGCCTCATTCCAAAACTCCTTTATTGCTCGCTCTGTCAATTTCTGGAATTCCCACCCTATCAAAATTCGACATTCCCCATCCATATCCACATTCAAAACCATCCTATTCCAAAAACAGTCAGATGGTTGCTAACCATTCGACAACATACATTTATTTCATGCCATTCATTGTCAAATATCAATGCTAAATGATAATGTATTTATATATTAATCAGGCACTTTATATTGTCAGATTCAGCTTTCTGTTTTCTCAACAGAAACATAAAGCTGATTTTAATAAAGAATTTGATATATTTTTTAATTCTTTATTGTTTTCTTAAAAGTGTATACTGGTCTATCAGTGCAAATAGCTTTAAGTGTCTTGTCATAGTGTTAATTGTTTTGTATATAGTTTCGTTTGTTTTGTATATAGAATGTTTACCTTATATTTTCTTTACATCATTTCTCTTTTTCGATTGATTTTATTTTGGCCAGATGTAATCTTTTAATTTTGTTCTATTTTGTTATTCTCAAGGGACTGTGTCCCAGAATAAAATTATTTCCTATATAATAGTATATTAATTTTAAAAATTGTCTGTAGTGATTAATAAGTATGCTGTGTTGTTAGCGACCCAATGTAATTGGGCAGCACCATTTTATTTTATGATAATAAAGTGGTTCTCTCTGGAAATTGAAAATTTTTTAAAATTTATTTATTTATAAAAAAAAATTTAAATAATATTATTTAGGTTTTCCTCTGAAGCTAGGATAGTAAATAAAAATGATGAGATGCACCGCAGCAAAATTTTTATTATAGTAATAGTTTCACTTTCTTGTTCTTAATAGTTATACATATAATTTCCATCAGTGCCTAAAGTTGAAAGAGATACGTTAGTAGCAAAATAAATTTATTTTAATGCATTTCTTTTTTATTAATTTTTTTAACTATCATTATATTCCAAATTATCAAGTAAAATAAGATATAATTCACAAAATTGTTGAAGAACAATGAAACTTTATAATTATACATAAATTGTGGTACATTTTGTCTCCAAGTCCGCAGTTAATCACTTTCACCTTTTGTTAGCATGAAGCTTCAAATGCCACGTATATTATTAAAATATTGCTATGTATATTGATAAATATTATAAATAAATAAATATATTTTTTAAAAACCTTTTAGGTCTCAACTGTTCTTCCTTCGCTTCAAAAACATATCCTTGAATGTCGTAACCTTTTTCTATTATTAAGTCTGAGACTGGATCGGGTATTTGCAATTTTCTGTAAAATTTGTACAATATTATTTTTAAGAACATAATGATATATTTATAACACATAATAGCTAATATAAGTTTGAATTCTGGCATAACTCTAAAAATACTACTTACTTTAATTCTTTACCACACAAGATTCTATTAATTTCATCTAACTGAGAATCTTTTAAATACTCTCTGAAAATATCCTCTATAGAAATTATGCTACTCATATTGTTGAATATTTAATATTTAATATTTAAAGAATATTTAACTAAAAGGTCTGTATTTTAATACTGTGCTGACACAATCATATAATGGACTGGCATCCCCTAGACATTGTCCTCTTGATAACAATTACTTTGTTTTTCATATCTACCTAATCCATCCAATATTTCTTTCTTTAGACTATGAACTTTTAATACACTACTCATCCTGGTCTTCAGAAATCAATTGATGTTTTATAGTAATTATTTTAATAATGATCTAGTTATCATTTTTAAAAAATATATTTCAAATTCTAATAACATTGTACATATTGATTCAAAATGAAGTATTATTTTTACTTAAATAATAATATTGTCTTTATTGTCATAATAATAACTTATTGTTACATTTAAAATATTTACACAAACTATTTTAATTTATTAACTTATTTAGTTTGGTATGCCACTAATATACCAATGAAATAAATTTTAAACTACTAATAATTATTTGTGCATTATTGGAAAAAAAATTTAAATATTTGAATAATTTACATAACTTATAATACAGTAAATTAAAACACAGAATTTCAGAACCAGTTAAGTACATTATCCATTTTTTTTTTTTTTTTTTTTTGTAGTTTAGATACAATATTACCAAAATAAAAGTAAAACAATTTCTTTCCAATACAGTTAAAACAAATGTAATTTTACTGTTTTTAAAAGAAACATTTTTGTTTCATGATAATTTAATATGAAAACTGTTTATTAGGAAAATTGACTTGGCTAATTAGGGAATATTATTGCACAATTAAAATAATAAAGTAAACTAATTTATTTCAAATTTTCCAAAATGTTCTTAACTTTTTGAAAGATCTACTAGTCTCTTAACAATGGTGTTAATTTTGAAATAATAAGTGTAAACACTCGGTAACTCAATAAATTTCAGAATACAGACTTTTAGATATACTTTACCATATATGAAAGATTTTACATAAAATTTAAACTTTTAAGTGTAAAAACTTAAATATTGATGTTATTGTATTTTTCTTGGATTCGTCTTATAGAAATACTTTTCACCTTGCCAAGATACATTTAAAATTCATGTAATATCGAACTAAATTAGAAAAACTAGTAAATTTAGAGAATAGGTTTGATGCATCTGTATCTGAGACTGTTTGGTTTGGAATTATCCTTTTGCTGACAGGAATGAGAAAATTGATGTAATTATGCTAAATAAAGCGTTAAAATGTTATATTTTTCATTTTAAAACATTTTTTGGTTTGGGTCACCTAAAATGTATCGATAAATGCTGGACACCGTTAATAAACTGTTTTGGAAATAGGAAAACCTAGTTTTGGTTGGATTTATTTTTTTTTTTAACATGAGAGTGGTGGATGGTCCCATTTTTAAAATCCATTACATTAAGTATATCTCTTTGAATTTATGCTAGTACACGCCTGTAAGCTACAGGTGTAAAAGGTCTAATATAAGGCTCAAATAGATGACGCCCATTAAATTTCCAATTCCTTTAACAAAATAAGTTAAAAACAGATAAAAAATAATCTAGAAACACTCTAAGAGAAAATAAAACAAAACTCTTGGGATCAATCAAAGTAGTTGAAGAGAAAAAGAAAAACCTGAGTTAATGATAAAAAAACTCCTTAATATGTTAATGATGATGAGGGACCATTCTTATTTACTACCTATTATTTTTCTTACGGTTTCCGGCATAACTAAAACAAAACAAGTATACAAGGAGAAATATAGAAACCAAGCATTTATGAATTATTAAGTTGTTAATAAGAATTATTAATTTAGGAAATATTAAGATGACCAGGAGTCTACGGGTTTCAAAAAGAAAAAGGTGGCGGAGACTATTTAGATGTTTATGTCTATATTACTTTAATCTTGGTTTATATTGAACATATACTTTAATATTGTTTTTCATTTTATAATAATTATGTTGATTATCACTCATAATTTTTACATCTCATTTTATGCCTGATCCATGGAACAATAAATTTATTTATAATAAAAAAGTTATCAGCAGCTTAGAATGGATGAACACCATGAAATTACGCTAATTACACTCCTCTCCACGGAGTATCAGGGACCAAGTTAACAGAGATGTTGGATCCCTCTGCCAAAAATGTGTTGGGCAATTGTCCGCTTAACACGGCCTCCTTGTCATAATAATATAAAGCATCATATTGCTGAATTCCTTAAAATGAGGAACTATAAATGTTTTCTCAAAGTTAATTGGGTACAGAAGGCTCGATAAGATTCATTGGCATTTTAGTGTTCAATGCGACGGAAAGGGAGGCACTCATAGTGAATACCATGATCAGATTTGAAAACAATGATCAAGATCAGGATTTCAAGGTACAGGCAGAGAAAGAGGAAATTTATATGAAATGCATACCATAGCTGAAGGAAATGTACAGCGATGAATACGGTGAGAGAGAATTCTTAGTTAAAGGGCTCTGGTTTAGAAGTAGAAGAAGCATCTCTCTTAATACAGTAATTCCTTGCAGATGCTCAGTTTTGGAAGGGAGCAGATGCAGACCATGACAGGTACTATTATTTTAGATTCGTTCGGGATCCTCCATCACCACATATATTGTTCTAGATGATCGCTTATATAATTCTATAAACCGTTCTTGGCATATCTGATATGTATTCCAATGATATAACCTAATTCTCTCTTATATATTTTTACAGTATTATCTATTGATTGATGAGTATGCTGTATTTTTTAGCAACTCGACACATTTGATTGTTGTATTTCTCTCTATAAACTCCCAAGACATATTTTTGGGGAGGGGTTCATATGCTCTCCCCCCCCCCCTCAACCCTGCTCAAATCAGAATGGAAAGACTCCCAGCACAACCATTGCCTAAGAAATAATACTTTTTTACGAAGTACTGAACCCAAGACCTTTCATTAGCTGTAGTCATAAGTTTCTTTTATATTAAAAGACATTTTTCCTAAATCTTTTTGGTAAGGAACTAAGAATGTTAACAGTTAAGCTAGTCTTCATATATATAAATGGTAAAACCTATAAGTAAATATTTCACATGTCTACTTTTTTTCTGCTTAGTATAATAAAAAGCCCATTATCAAAATTATTATTATTATTATAGGCAGATCTTATGAATTATGTGAAGAAGGAATTAATTGTGATTTCATTGGTTGAATTCAATATTTCATTTAACATAGTAGACCAAATATTTGTATTATGGTCTAATCATAGGATTTTCTAAATTATTAAAAAAATATAAAATGTACCAACAAAAAATGCCTTTAAGAAATAATAAAGTATATATCAGCCAGGAAAAATGGTAGTGGAATAGTTAATGCAATATCTTTGAAGAACAAATCATTATGCATATCAAATATAATGGACTGTATCTTTGTTAATAATGGTCAAATTTTTCTTATGGTTTTTAAGAGAATTTAGTAAACTTTCAAATAATGATAGGCTCAAGCAGATACAGGATTTAATTTTGGAGGGGCTTTAGCCCAAAAGCTTTTTTTTTCATAAAAATAACGATAATTACTTTGGAAAAAAAGAAAGAAACTAACTACCTATATGAAATGGTGTTTAAGTGATTCCAAAAGTCCTTTTAAATGTAATTACACGAACAATAATACTTTTAAGAGTTAATTTTTTAATATTTTTTTCCATAAAACATAGTTATATTTTACAATTTTTTTTGGAAGGGGGGGCTTCACCCTAAAGCCACTCCCTCCCCCCCTAGACCCGGCCATGATGATGGGTACCATCAAGAAAAAAATGTATACTTTTTGAGTTATTCGCAAATAAATTTTCTTTTCCTTCATATTTTTTTTCCTTAAATTTGGGGGATGTGACTATTTTACCCACTTGAAGACCTTTAAAATTTCAAATTGTCAATCATTGGATTTAACGAAGAATTGACAAAGTTATGGGTTTGCAATAAAAAAAAACAAAAAAACTTTTGATTAATAATATATAGAGATGAGTTTCATGGAAACACATTAGAGCACAAAAAAAACAAGATAATGGTCAGATTTAAACAATTTTTTTTTCATGAATAGAATTCAATTACCTAAAATTCATTAATAACTCTTCTTTTCAATTATCTTTGCCAGCCCCACTCTCTTCTTTTTTTTTTTTATCTCTATAGATACAAAATATATAATGTGAAAATGGAGGGTTATTTTAAGAAAGAGATCTCTGATTAAATTACGAGCTTAAACGCAAAGCGAATTACAATAGATCTCACCTGTATTGAGGCTCTGATAAATCTGTGATTTCTTTCACATGCAACTTTTTTCCGAACAATAGTTGCAAAAAACAACTTGTCCATCAGTTGTAAAAACTGTTTCATGTATATTGTACGGTTCAATCCAAGATTTCAACTTAGACGAAAATGAAAAACTTATTAGCATTTTAGCAAACAGATATATGACTTCCAAAGAATGTAGGCAACGAACTGAATTAGGAACTTAAAATGGCGTTGACTTGGGAGGAGTTTCCCGGAATCGGTGAATAAAAATAATTTTCGAAGGAGATAGAGGAAGATAGCTTTTAAGTCTACAAATGTGGTAGATTTTGTTCATTGAAAATAAATCTGCTATTTTAATCTAAATTGCATCTTCAATGTTGCATTTTAATTTGTACATATATTCATTGTTACATATATTCTTGTTAAATTAATCAAACTATGAAATTATATGCATTTATAGTCAAATATGCAAAATAATATCACAGTGCACTAATTCGTAAAAAATTTTGATCAGCAGTTAAAAAAAAATCACGCGAACAAAATATGGAATTGCATAAAAATCCGGGCCTTGGTTTTGGTTTGGTAAGACAAAGCAAGTTTTCATGAAAAGGTCTGACAGATTAATGGCAAATATTGTACAAAAGTTCTTTCAAAAACTAAGGGTTATGACCAAAGTACTGTTTACCAAAAATTCAATTCTTAGATCCTAATGCATTAATGAATATTTCAAGGATAAAACAACGGGGGTAAAGAAACAAGAAAAGATTTTCTTTCTAAATATCTATTACACAGACGATATACGGGGGGGAGGAGGGCTTTGGGGCTGAAGCCCACCCCAAAATGGTAAAATATAACCATGTTTTATGCAAAACATTTTCTCTTACAGTATTATTGTTCGTGTAATTACATTTAAAAGGACTTTAGGAATCACTTAAAACCATTTCATATAGGTAGTTAGATTCTTTCTTATTTTCCAAAGTAATTACCGTTATTTATATGAAAAAAAAGCTTTCCGGCTGAAGCTCCCCCCCCCCAAAAAAAATTAAATTCTGGATCCGCTAGTGCACAGACGGATCTATGGGAGGGGCTTTCAGGCTGAAGCACCCATATCCTCCCCAGAAATGTTAAAAACTATCTCTTAAAATATTATTGTTCCTGCAATTACATTTAATAGGACTTCAATAATCACTTAAACACCATGTCATATAGGTAATTATTTCTCTTTTTTTTCAAATTAATTACCATTACATATATGAAAAAAAAGCTTTAGGGCTGAAGCCCCTCCCCCTCCTCCCAAAAAAAAAAATTAAATCCTGGATCCACTAGTCTGTAATATTCATGTGAAGAACACATCTGAAAGATGCTTTTGAGAAAAATTTAATTTTTCTATTTTTATGATCAGATATGTTTTTGAGTGCAAATAAACATGATATAATTTAATAACATTATTTTCTATGAAACAAGGATTTTTTCAAATCATATCAGAGAGGACTACATTAATCCTTTAGATGCACAAAGCCAATATGTTAGGTTTAGCTTTTAATCCTTTAGTTGCATAAAACCAATATCCAAGCTCCTTACTGGGTCATAGGTTGTGGCTGGAACCAATAGAGATGTCATATTAAGTCCTGGATATCCTTTAGGTTGAGGGGTATGTCCTCAACCCTTCCTATACCTGCTTCCACTCCTTTTTCTCCTCTTTTGAACACTGTTTAGCTCTAAAACTAATCATGATTGGTAGTTTTGAAGTGCAAAAGTTAAAAATGAGTTATAATTTTTTTTTTAATTTATGTATATGTAATAAAATTTATCATACAACGAAAAGTTTATTGAAGTTTTCCATAGCAAACATTAAATTAAAAAAAATTCAAATGAAGAATAAAAACATGACACTATATGCACCCAAGAAAAATATTGGAATATATAAAAAAATAATGTAAGACAATTAATAAAATTAACTGTTTATTAAAATATGAGATATATTAATGAAAAATCGATTAGTCAGTTGTAAAATAAGCATATTTTAATGTGAAGTGTAATTCCATGAATAAATGCTGCACAGATGGAACCTACCTTACCTTGGCTTCATTAAAACTTTTTTTTTTTTTATGGATGTACCATAAATGAAAATGAACAGGGTTTTAAGATGATTTAAGGTAAGTCCTGTTAAAATCCACGAACAGCAGGTTATGTAGCTATTAAGTACATGATTAAGTTTTGGTAAAGTAACAGCAAGACGATAATACTACAAAACAAAATGGAGTATATACTACCATTTTAAGAAACCATTCTTAATAAATATCTATCTGTGCAAGCCAAGTTTTCAGTTAAAAAAATTTAAAATTAGTTATGATTCAAAATAATGCAGTAGATTACTAGTTAACAGGAAATGAAGGTAGACAAAAACAAATATTAAAAACGAAAGTTTATATTTTTATTATCAAACAGATTATGCTGGGTCATCTGCTTTGGTTGCTCTGGTATAAATTACTTGTGAATGGTGCTTCACGACCTGCTTGATCAAACCTATTGGACAGAAAACATAAGTTTTAAAAAAGAAACTTTAAATATAATAATATAACTGCTTAATTATAGCTAATTATTTAAAAATATTGTAACCAAGATTGGTAACATTGCCAAAGAGCCAATATGGGAACCATTGAAAATAATATATATCGCTTTTTTCTTTCATTTCTTGGGACTAAATTAATTCAAGAGATTCAGCATGCACACATATACTCTGGACTATTGTTGCTTTTAGGTATACATATGGGATGCTAATTACAATCGTACACAGAATAAGTATAGTTTTATGTTATTATTATAATTTTTATGTTGTATTTCATTTGCTTGAACATGCTATTGATTCTTCTTTTTTTTTTTTGGGGGGGGGGGGGGGGGTAGAAAAATTTTCAATTTTCCATATTGTTGGCAATAAAAACTTCCAATATATAACAAATTATAAATTCACTATAATTTATTTAAAGTTAACAATTCGGAATACAATTCCTATCTTCAGAACTTTTATTCCTATGTGGCTTTCATTAATAGTTAATAACTAAACTAAATATCACATGTGCTCTTTGCCATAATTAAATTTTTTTAAATATAATATATAAAAGTAATATCTGAAGCAACTGCATTATGGGACTGTAGAATCTTACCAGTCCCATAATGCAGTTGCTCCAGATATTAAATTTACATATAATAAAAAAAAAATTAAATTATAACAATGGAGCATATGTGATATTTAGTTATTAACTGCTAATGAAAGCCAGATAGGAATAAAGTTCTGAAGATGGCAATTTTATCCTGAAACGTTCACTTAAAACAAATGATAGCAAATACACAATTTGTTATATATTGTAAGTTTTTTATTGTCAACATAATTATTGATTCAGTAAATAGATCACTACCTTTAAATACCTTTTATTATTTTACGTTAATAAAATCCAACCTAATAGTTTTTGTTACTGAGTCAGCACAAGTCCTACAACCTAAATATTCAAAATAACGAGGTTATATAGGTTAAACAACCCAATATTTTTATAGGGCACCTTTTTTTTTAATCGATTTTGTGATCGAATTATCTGACAATCCAGGTGGAAAGCAAAGGGGTATTAAAGAGTTTTTAGTACCTAATTAAATAGACACAAGTTTGCCGACCTCTATATTGAAGAAGTCTCAATTCCGAGAATTTTCGTAAATAAAATATTTGTGATTACGATAAGATGAAGCTATTTATGAAGTTACAGCCAGATGTTAATAATTTGATAAAAAGGGGTCTGTACCACGGACTATAACCCTATCACCTGAGCATGGTTGCACGAATGTTTTATTATGGCCAGTTTAAATAATGTATAAGTAGTTATCCATAGTTTATATAATTGGCTCTTTGGAGATTAAAGGCAAAATTAGCTAGGTGCCCAACAATTCAAGTTCATCATAGAAAATTATTGTAATTAATAATTATTTGAATTCGGTTTATTTGTCCTTTAATGGTCAATATATAATCTTGGATATTTTTATAAATAAAAAAGGAATGGTGATATTAGAAGCTTAACTTAACAACATTGTTTGAAATAAGATGAAGTTTTTATTTTATTTTATTTGTTTATTTTTATTTACCTTCTTATATTTATATTTATTTCTTAATTATTTGTATATATTGTATGAATGAGAACTTTTAGCCCTAATGCTTATAGCCCTCCAGCAGTGGCTGATTGTATTATTATTCAATAAATAGATTTAAGAACTTAAATAAGATGAACCCTTGAATAAAATTTAACCTTGATTCAATTTCATTATTTAAGGATTATGGTGTCCTGAAATATTAATTGTCCCTAAAATAAAACAACTAGTACTACTACTACTATATAAATAATATCCCTCCACTTTGATGAATGGCACAATATCAAGTATTATCCCATCAATCCTCAAGGCTCACTCATCAAAGTAGAGAAATATCTGTACAGTAATACCAAGAAAATGTTATATCTATATTCATAATCCCTTTTTCACTAATATAACCCTGAATTTAAAAACAGCATCCAACCAAACCTTAGAATATTTTTGGTATATGATCAGGTCTATTATCAGAAATTCATTTTCAAGATTCCATCAGCAACAATCACTGTTAAATAAAACTGTATGAACATCAAAAAGCCCCACAAAAAGTATTTCTTATTAAATCATTAGCATATACAGTACAATTTAGGAATTAGGTGATTATTGAAGCAAGAAAATATGAAAAAGTTTGCAAACAATGATCCATAGTAACAATTATTAATCTTTAACCATAGAATTCCACATTAAACATATTATTGTTTTTATCAAAGCAATACAGGAATAAAGAGAATGTGTAAATATGAACATACAGAATTCATAGTTCAATATATTTCTTTTTAAACGTATGTATTCATATAATTCATTTCACAATGTTACCTAAATTAAATAGAAGTGAATGTAGTAAGCACAAACCATATTTATTAGTTTTTCAAGGCATGATAATGAAAAACACTATTAACTAAACAGAATTCAGAATCAAAACGAATAATACCTTTGTTGAGCAGCTCAGTAAGGGCTTTCCTTGCAAGTGATCCACGAACTTTATGCCTTTCACTGACAATAGAAGGTGTGATCAACCTGTATGCTGGAACTTCCTTCAGAAGCTTTTCGTAGGTGACATTATCGAACAACACTTGGTTGTCTAACTTGTCACGAACTTTTCCTTTCGACCACTTCTGTAAATCAAATTAGTACAAAATAAGTTGAGTGAACAATCTTAATGAAAGGTCAACAAAAAACAACAACACAAAGCTAAGTCAAATGTAAATTAATTTAATGAAAGTTGTAAATACATGTATTATAATTAATGATTAAAAATTATATTCAAGTAAACTAAAAATGTACTTTAATATTAGCAAGATTAAAATTCTATAAAAACTAACTCAAGAGAAGTTACATAAGTACAGGTTAAATGAGCACATGGTGGCTCATGTCATTGAGACTTAATAGAATTATGTTGTTAATTTTAAGAGAAAAGTGAACTATAAATAAAACGGACTATTTTTGATAAATCCAAGGATAGATTTAAAGTTAAAAGAATAATAACTTGCCTTCTTCTTAGCTTTGCCTCCAGATCCTCCTTCCTTCTTTTTGGGATTTTTCGCAGGTTGCTTCGATGAGCCTCCCTTCGCGTCCTTCTTAGGAGGCTGTAAAAATAAAATTCAAAATTAGTTCCCATCTTAATAATATACTTAAAACAAAATAACAAATAATTCTCGATTGTACACATCTAACACTCACCATGTTGAAAGGATAACGGAGTCGCAAGACTGATGGTAGGGGAAGCCTTGCTGTAGTTCAATCAATGAAGCCTCAATCGTTCAACTAATCACCGAATAAATTTTGTATAAAGAACAATTAATTCAAATAATATTAAAATTAATTGAATGAAATTAATTTTAAATATTTTTTAAAATCATAAAATGAAATATTTTCTTATGAATCGAGATATAACTTTTAAAATTGAAAAGCTGGATTGTTCAAAATTAAATCGTCACTGATAACCATTTTCAAATTATCAATTTTTAAATTTAAATTACACTTACAAAAAAACTATAATGCTATATTTTAAACTACAGGTCTTATATTGACGATTTTCCAATCCACTGTTTTGTTTGTTTTAATTATACATATAATATCCATGGAAACTGTTTACTAAAGTCAAACCATAGCAAGATGCTAGCATTAATTAAACATTTATATTTTACCCTTGTTCTTGATGATTTTATTCATACACCAGATTTTATGGTATAATTTATCATTAAGTTATAATATTAAACAGTATTTTTTTACATGAAATATTCTTCTCTATTTTATAATGAGTGAGCCATCAGGTAGTAGAAGGGGTAGCTCAGCAGAAAGTATAAAAAGAATACATTCAGAACATGAAAAACATGTCCATTATGAAGACACATCCAGTCCAGGTATTGTAATATAGCATCCTAAACATGTGTTTTTCTCAAAAAATAGTCAAGTCAGTTTCTTTACCTAAGCAGTTTTATTAATTAGATTAGTTTCAATGGGCAATTGTAGAAAATGTAATAATCAGCATAAATGTATCTCAAAATTTTCGACAGGGCGAACTTATGTATTAAACAGAGTTGATAACGCACATTGTAAGCCTTGTAAATCTCCTTATATCCAATCATCGCAATTTATAATTTACTTTTCCTGATTTTTGTAAATTTTAGGTTTGCAATTGCAGCGACAACATACTCAATCATCAAATATTATTGGTGTTTTGAGAGAATTGAAAGATGACATTGTAGACTACAATCAGTCTTATAACAATCAAGCTTATTATAATACAGGTATTATTTAAAAATTATTTTAAATAAATTCACATCTTTTTTTAATGTAGAATCCTACATTGAAATTATATTTGAGTTTAATTTGCTTTCATCATCAAAACTTTTTTTTCCATTGTTTAATTGATTTATTATTTTTACCTAAATTTACATAATTTGTTTTTACTTCTTTTATTTTGTATTAGTTTACTTGTAAAGTAAGCGTAAGGCATAACATTAATTTTTTTTTTGTTTTATTTAATTGTTGGAAATAATTGACTAGTCTGTTTTTAAAGGTTGATTTAATAAATTCAGTGTGTACATCAAGGAGTTGTTGCTTCCTATATTTTAAAACTCGACAGTGATGAATCGCATAAACAATCATATACAACTTGAAATTTATTTTATTTGGGATTCTAATAAAGAGGTTAAAATCACAAGAATATTTGGATGGATTATCTTCTATATTTACAATATTACAATTATTGTATTGAATAAATATGTAATGAATAAATATATCAGATGGAAGGTTTTACTAAATTACAATATAATCCAATAAAACTGATCCTTTGAGAGTAATAATTTTTTTTAAAACAGTTTAAAGTTGTAAAATACATTAACAACATTGGGGATTTTTTGTTCATTAATTACATATTAAGAGAGTGGGGTAGCTCATGGACTCCTGGCTCATGGCAGAAAAATTATTTATTCTGTTTCATTGGCTGTCGGAGATTCTCAGGAGACCCTCCTGGGACACACCCAGCCTCTATGAAGTGGGTACATTTAATTAAATAATTAATTAAGGAGAAAATCCTGGCGGTTGAGCATGATCATAGTCAAATCACCTTTTTGCACAACCTTTGATTAAGAAACTGTACTTATCCTAAATAGTACTGAACCCAAGACCCTTCATGGGTTGTGGTGGTACAGGTTTTAATTATAAATTTATATAATATGTATATTTATCTTTACATATTTCATGAAGGTTTCTTTTTGTTGGTACACCATAACTTTGTCAGTTCTTTATCAAATCCGATGATTGATCATTCATTTTGAAAATTTTCTTCTCCTTCAAGTGGGAATAATAGTCACATTCCCCTAATATGAAAGAAAAGGAACTTTATTTGTGAATATACATTTTTTTGTTTATTGTGCTCGTGATTATTTGATTCCGTATAAAACAAAACAAATATTAACAAAAATATTAACACAGTTTATTTTAATTTGTAAACATGTTGATATAAAACATGAATGTAGTTTCAAAATAATTTTATTTTTACATTGGAGGATTACAATTACTAAGAAAAAAATAACTGATTCCTCCATCTTTTGTTACACTGCATTACTTTATTTCCTTATTTTTTTGTAGTTTTGATCACTGATTAATATATTATGTGAATTATTAGCACGGGCCAACTAATGTTATAAATATATTTTTTCTTCTTATTTTTCTTTTTTTATTAGGAAGCGTACATTTATAATTTTTTCATATTTAAGGCAATAATACTTCCAATTTTCTTCAAATTCTTTTAATTACATTTGTTATCTCTAATGTTTCGGGACAATTTTCCCGTTATCAGAGTAATCTTTATCTTCACTTTCTTTTTTTTTTCTTTTTTTTTTTTTTTTTTTGATGTGGCACTATTTGTCAAAAATCAAATATTTGTCACTTTTTTAAACTATTTTTTGGTGTTACACATCTTTTATCAATATGTTAAACATATCAATGAATATGAAAAGATGTTTAACACCAAAAAATAGTTTTAAAAAATGTGACAAATATTTGATTTTTGACAAATAGTGCCACATCAAAAAAAAAAAAAAGAAAAAAAAAAGAAAGTGAAGATAAAGTGAAGATAAAGATTACTCTGATAACGGGAAAATTGTCCCGAAACATTAGAGATAACAAATGTAATTAAAAGAATTTGAAGAAAATTGGAAGTATTGTTGCCTTAAATATGAAAAAATTATATTTTTTCTTTTACTTTTTATCAAAGACAATATATTTATACGCATAAAGAAGTTTAAAATGTTAATTTGATAACTTCAAAGAGTTTGAAGTCAACTCCTTGCTATAAGTCCTGTCTTTTTGAGCAATAATAATATATTATTATTAAGTGCTGTAGATCAGATGTCTCTAAACTTGTTGACCCATGGACCACATTGAGACCTTGACTAGGCCGTATCGAGACCACCATCCAAGTCCCGTGGGGCTTATGATGAAAAAAAGATCTTGTTCTATAAATGACACTTTTGCTCTGAAATGAGCTTTCTCAGAGGAAAATTCTAAGCAATAAATGTGAAAGTAAGCACGTATGTGTGTAAATTGCTAATTTTTGTATTTTTATATAGGTTTTAAAATTTTACCATGTAATCAAAGAAATGTTTGTGGGACGGATTAAAGGTGCTCATGGGCCAGATCCGGCACACGGAACAAAATCTTACAATATAAACCTTACATCATTAATGTTGAATTGAAATGTAAAGAAATATTTGTTTTCACTATTGTTGCAGTGTAATAATATTGTAACATCTCTTATATTTTACAAATAATAATAATATAATCTCCGAAGCTCACTTCTTACCCTTAGGATACTTCCAAAAGAAATAAGAGGTTGTTAAATAAAAACAAAATTATAAGAGTATTAATATATTTATTTATCTCAGGTGTGGGTTACTGACAATCAGATCAACTCAGACAAACTATTATTATTTACACTATTTATATTAAAATTAAACATTGATTTTAAAATAAAGTCAAGTATGAATTGACAAGCTAAAATTTTTTCTACATACAATGTTTCTTCCTTTGTGGCACTGAACTCATTTGTCTTCACACATTTTCTTATGTTCTGTCAAACACATATCTCAAAATGGTAACACTATACTTCCACTCAACTCAAGGTCTCTGGGAAGTCCTCTCCCTTGCAATTCCAAACAACTATTCTCCCTGCCAAACAAGATCTTCTAAGATGGTAAAACTATTACTGGGTTGTACCCACTGGAGCCAGGATAGGATATCTTCTCTTAACCTCTCTTCACTGCAGTCAACTGATTGCCAAAACAAAAACCTTTGTCCCTCTCCTCTTTGGGATTTTCCTTCATGGGAAATTACAGAGTAGCCAGTTTCTTTTCCCTGCACTAGTAGAACTAGATTAGCTTGCCTTTTAATTGTTAACATTAATTTATTAAATCATTTTTACCCACTTCCAATAAAAGTGTATATTACAATATATTGCAAGTGTAAGTAACTAAATTTAAAATAAATAAAAAATTACTTACCACTATTTCATCATAATAATGTTTAATCTTAATCTTAGGAAGATCATGTGTTGTGTCAAACAGAAACCCAGCAACAGGAATGGGAGATGTTTATGTCGAGCAAAATGGAAAATTTGTCAAAGCTCCTCGGGAACTCTTAGAAAACTTTAGTTTCAGCACAAGAGAAATTTACCTAGAGCAAGTAGGGTAACTATCGTTGAAGTATTATTTATTTTTTAAGATAATAAAATAAATTCTTTTATAAAAATATTAGGATATTACATATTTTGTAATAGTTTATTTTTTTCCTGTAGTTTGCTTTTAAAATTGATTACAGGTCAGGGTTTAGAACTCCTCTGGACAGGGCGATCGTGGCAGAAAAGGCATGCTCTACCATCAGCAGGATATTACTTGGAATATTAGCGGGTGCCTCCCTGCTTGCGTTTATTATAGTTAGTTTTATAATACCAATAAAACTTACACAGTTAAAATTAAAAAAAAAAAATGTCAGTTTATTATTATTTGTTATAATTTTTATAATATCTGATTTATTGGATTGCCTGTAAAATAATGCAGGATTTTAGTTTAAAAAGAAAAAAAGAAAGATTTACAACTGTTTTATTTAATCAAAATAGTCTCTACTACTATTAATACATTCCTACCAACTTGTTGGCACCTTTTCCATTCCCTCGGAATATAATTTCCCATATTTAGAATTGATAAACTCCGAAAATGTATTTTCTAATTCCCTTTGTCCATTGAATTATTTGTCACATAAGTAGTGTTCCAGGTGTCTAAAAAAAAATGATAATCCGTAAGCAAACGGTCCGGAGAGTAGGGATGGTCCAACTTTGTTGTTACAATATATAGAATTTTAAATAGTTATATATGGCGAAAATTTTAATCAGGTGACAGAATATCCAGCTGAAATAAGGTTGAGGATTTACTTCTAAAGAGTATTTTTGAGAGCAAATAATTTGATGATGTATTTAAAGCTTAATTTATGACTTCAATAATAACACTGATTCAACTGATTCAATAACACAATGAGGGAAAATGGTTTTAAAAAATCTATTTGGGCGCCAGCTATCAGTCCATGTGCATTCTTGAGGCATAAAACAGCTGACTGGATATTATAGATTTTTTCTTCCAAAACATGCTATGTCACAAAAATTATGCATAACGAATGTTACCGTTATTTTACTTAACATTGTTAAATTAACATGGTGGATGATAATTTTAATATAAGTAGTTTTCAGGCATTTATTTAGTGTTAAGATTTCAGATCTATCCAAAATTTGGTTAAATCAGTTAGAGCTATTTTGTATAAAAATTTAACAAATGTTACTATTACTCGGACAAATTGAATATAATTTTTCTTACTACCAATTGATCATATTACTTTTTTATTATAAATATTTAGAGAACAGAACAATTTTAGCCTTTTTTCTTATTAGCATTGATGAAAGAAATAAAAATCATCATATTTTTATTTTTTTTCATTTTGACTTTAAATATTTATTGTTTACTCTTATCTTTATTATATTTATAGCCATTATATCTTTCCAATATACTAATTAAGTTTGTTTATAGAAACTGTTTGAAGAAAAACATCACTGTTTCATAAGCTTTAAATCCACATTAATTAAGTTATGTTTTAAAAAAAGAAAACTAATATTAAGGAAACTGACTATCGAAGATCATGTTTGTTATCTAGGACACCTATACTAATATTTGAGATTAGTTTTTCTCCAAAAAGTTGATATTTTTTTTAAACCGAATTACTAGATTCCGAAATACTAAATGGTCAAATAAAATAAGAATGACCCTATATGTATTACATTTATAATGAATGTATTAAAATTAGAGTTTTTAAAATGAATCCCACTTATCCCTGTTGACCAAATCCGATATCTAGGACTCCACCTTGACAAACGAATCACTTGGAACCCCCATACCAGACTGCAACGACTAGAAACCGCCCGACGTTTCCGACTACTCCAGCACTTACTAGACAAATGCTCTAAACTGCCAACTATTTACAAAAGACTCATTACTATAATAAGGCCTATTTGGACTTATGGGATCGAGCTTTGGGGCTCTACTAAACCATCAAATTCCTCTCGTATCCAATCCCTACAATCCAAAATCCTTCGTAAAATCCTTAATGTTCCCTATTTTGTCACAAATAAAATCATCCATAATGACCTTAATGTACCATGTGTTTCCGATTTAGCTCAATCCAGATACCTGTCCTTTCATAATTAACTTCTGAACCATCCGAACCCTCTCGTTTCCAACCTTGCTTCCTCTTCTATTCCTGATAACCCTCCGAGGGGTCTGAAAAGAAGATGGCCTCGGGACCTTCTAATATAGAAATATAATTGGAGTGCTACCAATAGGTAGTTTCTCCTCATGTTGTACATGTCATATTACTTGTATCATATGTTCATATGTATGTATTTTTTTTTTTCAAACTAACATTGAAAAGCAGACAGAAAAGGCAATCTCTTTGCTGAAAGTTATAATCCTTATATGGGCTAAATCATCCAGAAAGATTCCCTCTGAACTCGCACCATACGCTCAATGTAATTGCTTAAAAAAAACTGCATATACAAAACTGACCTTTTTTTTTTTAATCACCACATTAATAAACATGATGTTTTGCAATAATAAAATTAAAATTTATTATTTTTTTGCAGATAATTATGCTTGTGAATTCAAGACATAACTTAGCTATTTTAGACTTGTGGCCTTTTTTAGCCATCATATCTGAAGTTTGTCGAACGTTATTTTTTGTTATGCTAACGATTTGTTTGATTTCTATTCTCGATTGGCAAGTAACCATAATATTTAATTAATATACATATCATACATTTACAATTTTATTTTTAAGTATTACGAGTATGTTACAGGCTGGATATGGCACACGCTGATCTACAACATATGATAGATACTTTTCAAAGGAGGAAAATTGGTTATGTTTTTATTCTATATTTCTGCGCAATGACTGCGTTTCTTATAACGGCTCCTTCGAATGATTATATAATTTATACCATGATAACAAAGAATCCCTCTCAAAATGCAAACTTGAGCCAGAAAGAGAAACAGGTAAAAAAAAAACAAAAAAACAAATATATTAATTGTTTAATAATATTTTGTATCTTGTGAGCAAATGGTTTATTAGTACTCACTCTTTTTATTATGTGGACCACAACCATGCCAAAGTGAAGTAAGTGAGGAAAAATTTGCGACATTTTTCAAAATTCATTATAGAATGACTATAAAATGTGTACACATGTGTTATTTAGGCTTTGAAGCATAGGCGCAGACTTCTGGTTGAGGGGGTGACGAAAAATGAAAGATAAAGACTCAGAAGTTTGTATTGTGAATACAAATTATGAGAGGCAATTAATATAATTATTGAAAAACGAACAATATAATACTATATAAAAAAACAAATGTATTGTAACATTGGTTATAATACTAATATAACCTCGGACGATCACTTTATACTTTTAGGATACTTCCTAAAGAAATAAGAGATTGTTAAATAATAAACACAATTATAAGAGTATTAATATATTAAATTGAAATTTATAATTATTTTATCTCAGGTATGGATTACTGACAATCAGATAAAAACACTCAGACAAACTAAAATTAACTATACTAAACACTGCTTGATTTTAAAATAAAGTCAAGTATGATTGGCAAGCTAACCTTTTTTCTATATACACTATTTCTTCCCTTGTTGCACTAACTTCTTTTGTCTTCAAATTATTTTCAATCATGCCAATACACAACTTCCAAAATGGTAATACTTTCTTCTACTCTACTCAAGGTCTCTGGGAGATCCTCTCTCTTGTATTTCCGAACAATTAGTCTCTCTGCCAAAAAAAAAACAACTTCCAAGATGGTAATACTATTACTGGGTTTTACCCACTGGAGCCAGAATCCCTTCTCCTATCCTCTCTTCACTACAGTCACACAACTTCTCGCCAAAACATAAACCTTTGTCCCTCTCCTTTTTTTCCTATTTGGGGAAACTACAGAGCAGCCATTCACTTTTCCCTAAACTAGCGAAACTAGATTAGCTTGCCTTTTAACTGTTCAACATTAATTTATTAAACCCTTTTTAACCTGGGGGCGGGGTGGCCAAATGGGCTAAAGCGTGTGCACAGCACCGCGAGTTGCCTAGCAACTGGATAAACAGATTTGAGAAGATTAAAAAAGTACGAGTTCACGTCCCAGTGCTGGAGGGGATTTTAAATTCCATGCCCTCACCCCCGTATAGCCTAAAAGGCGAGGTAATGGGAAGAAAAAAAAAAAAAAAAAAAAAAAAAAACCTTTTTACCCACTTCTAATAAAGGTGTAAATTACAGTATATTTAAACAATATATTTAGTTTTTTTTTTGGGCGTATGGATTATGAATAGTTCATAACCCACTGGCTATATTTGAAAATATGTTAACAAAGCAATTGAATAAATTACATATTTTTATTTAAAGGATTGAGGTAGTGAGATGAACTTTAAATTGTCTGGTACTTCAAAATTTCAAAGAAAACTATGATAAAATCTTCAAGATAAAATCGTAGGATGCACATGAATGAATCATGAATATGATGTACTTCAAAGCATAGACTTGGAAGAGGGGAGGGAGAAACGATACTCGCACCCTCTATTTTTATTGGGAAGGAGATCGATGGCTCCCCCTCACCCGAAGTGTGCGCCTATGCTTTGATGTATATCATAGTCTGTTTTCAAGCTATTTCAAAGAGTTTTAATGGTAAAATTTTAGTAAATCTGTATAAAAGTTGCACACTTTAATTTATGAAGCACAAAATTAGTTATTGTCATAAGATATACAAACGTAATTCTCAAAAAAAAAAATTTTCCCCCATGGCTCACTTTAGAGTGTATTAATATTTGAACTATTGTTTTTATGATTGCTTTTGTATTGTAAAATATATAATATTTGTTGTTGCCTTTAGTTGTATTAATAATAAAATTTATAATTATTATTGGAATATACATAAGTTGGCAAAAAAACCATGTGCATTATTTTTAATTAAACTGATATATCATATAATAAAAATATTATTTTTTATTAAATTGAAATATTGATTAATTGAAGCATTTGGATTGGACAATCATACTAAATTGTCAAGACTTTAAGATCTATTAATTATTCTAGAAATCTACTTATATTTTTTCATTTACATCATAAATATGATGAAAATGTATTGAATATACGTACATAAGGATAAGATAACATTGTACTCAGTATATGAGTAGAATATTTTTTTTTTTTTTTTTTTTTTTATCGATCTTTAAAATACTGAGGTTACAAGGAACTTATGTTTCAAATTTATCATTGTATTTTTATTTTCCTGGAACATTCACACTAAATTAAAAAAACAAGAACTGACCATAACGATACAAACAACTGTTACATCTTTTAGACTACAGATCTCCACTTAATTTACTAAACAAGCGACTAAACTACACCACTATACCAAGACCTATTTGGACATACAGAGCAGAACTTTGGGGTTCTGCAAAACACACACACATAAACAAAATTCAAACTACACAATCCAAAATACTTCGTAAAATCGTCAATGTTCCTTGGTTTATTTAAAATCACACCATACACACAGACATGAACATACCAAAAGTAAAATCCTACATACACTACAAGTACACAACATTTTACTTTTCTACTCTCAATCATCCAAATCCACTCGTTCTATCTCTATCTTCCTCCCTGTTACCTGGTGAGCCTCAAAGACGACTAAAAAGGCAGTGGCATAGAGATCTTCTGCTGAAAAGTTAAGAAAATATCAGGAATTCAAGAAGATATAATTAACGCCAACACATTTGCTTGATGCGTTCCAATGCAGTGGCAAATTTAAAATAACAAAAATAAAATAAATTGTGTATTTTTATTATTTATTTAGACTTAGTTGATTAAAAATTAAGATTAGCATAGAGATTGAATTTTCACTAATATTGTAGCAATAACTTTTGTCTTTTTTAAGGAACTTGCTGACTACGTGAATTTTTGGAAGGTGTTAACTTTAATTTACTTATTGCTTTGCTTTCTCGGATGGCTTTTAGTTACTCTAACAAGGAATGAAGACTTGTTCTACATTCATTTGTTGGGAATGAAGAAGTACGAAGCTTCCACTTTACCAGTTACGAACGGATACGAAAATCAAAGGAATTTTACCACGCTTGACCATATCAGTAGACTCCCTCTACATTAGTGTTGTTTGTTTTTTGTTGTGTTTTCTGTAAGAATGAATTTATAAGAAATGATATAACCCATCGATATATCTGTAATTATTTTAAATAACTTAATTTAATGGTTGTCCATATTGATAGTTAAGGAAAAGATGTTGCAGGTGGTAATAGAAAAAGAAACCAAAAAAATGGTTTAACCTATTTAGTGATTACCGACGTATTGGCACACATTTTAGAGAGCAAGACACGATAAAGATGAAATAGATAACAACTAGCATGTCATTATTATGACATAATGTACTGTAAAAATATGTAAATTTTTAATTTATTTTATTATTATTACTTTTTTTTAATTGTTAAATAAAAAATTGAAGAAAGTTTGAGAACATATGATTGGCAGGAGATATAGATATGAACAAAGAAAACATCAGAATTAATAAGAAAATTGATAAATAATAAAAGCAATGACAAGATAAATAAAATTATTGTTAGAAGAAAATATTCTAGAAGTATAAAATATGGCATGAGCAGAAATATAGATATAAACAAACAGATGATAATTATAACAGGCAAGTTGATAAATGGTAAAAGTAATAATATAGATTAAGTGAGTTATAAAAATAAAAGTAATAATAGAGATAGTGGTCTTAATAAAGATATTGCCTGGTGCATCTTTTCCTTTAATAAATTTATATGGACTCTAATAATATTCTGTGAGTGAATTTTATTACATATTATGATATAATTATTGTTTAATGTGCAAAAATAGTATTATGTGTACAAAATAAAAAATGTTGGTCTGTGTTTTGGTATTTCTTTATTTCTTAATAGTTTCCAGTGTTATTTAGATAATTGTTAAACTGCCAAACAACTAATATGACCTAGATTAACCAAATAATCAAATTAAATTGTTGTTTTTATTAAATTAGCAATTTAGGCAATGATCAGGCCTTATGGTGCTTTTAATTTATTTATTCAGTTGATATGGGCATTTGTTACAATCATGATGAGAAACTACACTGTTTCATTTGTTAATTAACATTGGCTAACTCAATGAAAACATTTTTTGTTTCAATTTTCAGTAAATAAATGTTTTAAAGTATGTATGTTTTCTGCAATACGTTCTACAAAAAAAAAAATCTTAATTTGTTAATAGATTTTATCATCTATTCAAACATGACTGAAGATAAACCACTGGATTTTTCTCTTCCTCATGCCTATCATGCCCTTTCTCCTAGTCTATTTGTACAGTTATCTCATTCACTGGTTGTCAATGGACATTGACAGTTGTGAATTAAAAAATAAAGAGGAAAAAAAAAAAAAAAGATTTTATCATCTTACAGTAAGTGGTGATTTAGCTGAGAATTGTAGAAGAAAAAACACAAAACAAAACAATATTTAACATGTGAAAACATTTTTGTAAACTTTATCTTTTAATAAATAATAGCTAGGTAAATAATGTATAAAATAAATTCCTTATAAAATGATCTATAAATAAAAGATAAATTGTGGAACTTGCCGCCATCTGTTAGCCAACTGATAAACTAAACATTAGTTCATATAACAGTTCATAGATCTCATCATATTCAGAATACCCATGGTTTATTAATGGGGCTCTGATTTTAATATCAAAAAAAATTTTAATCTCTTGCAATGGTACAATCTGGCGGACCAAGAGAAAAGTGGGGTTCTAAAGGGTCCCACATACAAGGTCAATATTATTGAAGCAATATATTGAAGGGGTACCTCACACAGGTCAATTATATTGCGTCCATATATCATTTAAGATCTTGTTTCCACTAAAGAAAAAGGTTTCCAAAGAGGTAATATTTATTTTTTTTGGATATGAATAATAATGAATTTCCTATTACCGTAATTGCCTTATGTTTAGTTTAGACTCCCCCCCCCCCCAAATTTAAGTAAAACAAAGTATCATCCACCTATCCAAACATATTCCCATTTTATTTTATTTATTAAATTCGGAGGGGACTCCCCCGCTCAAAAATAAAATAATTAAAAAAAAGGAAAGCAAAGTATCTCTTTTTTATTCACTCTACCTAGCCATTTAGGCCATATGCGTTATTTACTGAAGTATCATCCACCAACTCAAACATATTGCCATTTTATTTTAAAAAAAATTAATTGTCAATTTAAGAGTGGTTAATACCCCTCCCTCTCCCCTCTCCTTCCCCCCAAAAATAATTTATGAACCCAAACATATACAGTCTCCCTGCTCTAACCGGAAAGTCCAGAGTTCCTCCAGATCCGTATATATGGTTTAATATTGCTCAATATAGCCCTCATACGTGCAATTATATTGACACTGTTTTAATAATATTGAAGGAGCTTCAATAAAAAAAATTGGCACCAACTAATTTGATTAATGTCAATATCATTTATGCCAATGCAGCCCTTACACGGTCAATATATTATCTAAACTCGATATTGACCGTGTAAGGGGCCCAAACGTAAAATATTTGGGTTCTCTCAAATAGTTTCAAGAAAAATCAAATAGTTAAATTGTACTTTTTAATGCGTGTAGGCATTTCACAAAACATGGGACTAACAAACATATAAATTGTTGTTTCACTATGCTAGTATTTTTGTTTCTTGTTTTTGATATTTTCCATCTGCTGTCAGTGTCAAAAGAAATAAAATAAATAGTTTGTATTAGCAATAATTTCGTTGTTAGTTAACTTAGATAATTATGTTTCTCATAGCTTTTAAAATGTCTAAACATCCCTTTAGAAGACAAAAATTTTTCTTTTTGTTTTTAGATTTGTTCGAATATTTTATGGAAGGTTTCCGGTCACTTACAGACAGGGGTGCCCAGAAGGGTTTGATTGCACGTTGCGCCATCAAAATGTTTGGGGGAGGGGGAGGAAGGGGGCAAATTTTTGTGGGATTTTGAATTTTTGAGGGAGACACATTCCGTCGGGGTTATGTATATTCCGAGTGAAACATATTTTTGTCGGATTTCAATATGGGGGAAATTTCAAACTACAGGGAACTACAATATAAGATCAAAACTTTTCAAATTCTACTTTCGCTTGCTCTGTTTTTAAGAAGAGAAGAGTAATATAATATCTTGATGAGAGGGAAGTGCACTATCGACCTTGGGAGGGATGGGCACCTCTGCTTACAGAATCTTAAAACTAAAATAATTGAGCTAGTATCACTTCCATTCTAATTCTATACTGCACTTCCATTCTATGCTAGAAGAAGAAGTGCAGAAAAGGTTCTTGCCTTAATACTAGTGGGTTCAGTAATGTATGATGAAGATGCAGAGGACATTGAAGATATTTTATGTAAACTAAAAAATAATAAACCACCCAGTAATAATGGACTCCCAGCAGAATTGTTTAAAGCAGGTCATCACGAAGTCGCCAGGGAACTACAGGACCTGATAGCTCAGATTTGGGAAGAGGAGACCATATCTAAGGAATGTAATGAGGCTTTAGTAGTGGCTGTATACAAGAAGAAGGGAGACTCAACGATATGCAGCAACTATCGAGGGATTAGTTTCGTTAACACAATATATAATTTTTTTTCCATATTCCTGTAAAACATGCTCCTTCAGTGTGTTGAACAGAAACTGGATGATTATCAGAGTGGTTTTCGTCCCAATATGTCTACTATTGATCAAATCTTTGTCCTGAGGCAAATCTCTGAAAAGTTAAAGGAACATCAGCAGACAAACTAGTTGCTGTTTGTTGATTTTCGTGCTGCCTAGGATACTATTTTATTTATTTATTTATAAATGTTTTGGGCTTTTCAACCACCTGGGTCATTTTCGCCCTATATTAAAATTGGATCAACAACTACAAAGGCATACATAACAAAACCACAGCTAACAAACACAATTTAAAGGTTAGAAAGTTAAAAATAGTTACAGATGAATATGATAGTACAATTGAATTAAAGTTATAAAAATTGAAAGTTAAAGACTAAAATGAGATAAGTTAATAAAGACAATTAAAATAAAGATTAATGATTTTAAGAACAAAAGCTAAAAATACGTTTTTAAAAAATAAAAATTAATATTAATGGTTTATTTATTATTTATTTAGTTCCACCCTCCCATGCCACTAGGGCAATACGGGTGTATGCAGTAGTGTGAAGTTAAGCCTTTGCATAATATCACACTACAGCAATGATAACATAATACAAAATTCACAACTGTGCACACAACTCTTTTTACTTTGCATTCTTCAATTTGCTTAATTATGCGTGGCTTCCAGAATCTTGAGGTCTTTCTGGCACTGGTCCTCTTCTCCTTCTACGGGGCCCTAGGTTGAAGTGAGCTGGGCCCACCGCCGTCTTCCAGCCATTTATGAACTCTTTGAACCAAGGGAAGTTCTTCTCACGAACCGAGGAAACTCCTCCTCGGCGAGGACATAAATTCCCGTGGTTCTCATTAAGGTGGCTCTTATTGCGTCAAATTCAGTGCAGGCCGTCACCACATGCTCAACAGTCTCCGCAATACCGCAAGAGGGGTATTGGGGAGCTACATCCTGCCCGAGGCCATGTAGTTTTGCTCTAAAACCCTCATGCCCTGTGAGGTATTGTGAAACCCAATAGTCCGGGAGGATTTATTTCTATTTTAAAATATTAATAGTTGAGGTTTGGGGCTCCACTAAACCATCGAATTCCTCTCGTATCCAATCTTTACAATACAAAATCCTTAATAAGCCTTACTTAATCCCAAATAAAATCATCTATAACGACCTTAATGTTCCTTATGTTTCAGATCTGGCTAAATCCAGATACCTATCCTTCCATAATAAACTTCAGAACCATCCTAATTCTCTCGTTTCTAACCTACTTCTTCCTCGATCCGTGACAATCCTCCTGAAAAGAAGATGGTCTTGAGATTTCCTAATTTGGAAACTTTATTAGAGTGCTGGGTAGATTCTCTACAAGCCTTGTCATGTCATAAATTTCTCTGTATCACATTTGCTGTATATTAATTTGTAGAATTGTAAATTTCATAAATAATAATAAAATATTAATAGAAGGGAAG